GCAAATAATCCAACAATATAATACTGGAGCTTTAATTGAAAACTCAATTAAAGCTTCATCGTTGTATTGCACGGCACCATTATTTAAAATAGTACTTAACACGACACAACCCATGTTGAAGACATTATTCGTCTATTATTTTAATAACACCACGCAGCATATCAAATGTTCACTTGAATTTAGTATTTGAAGGCAATAATTATATAAAAGCGCACTTAACGAGGTATCTCTCTCCCATTCAGAAATCCTGCCACTCCCATCAATCACATGCTGTGCTTCATCGCAGCGGCTTGCGGCATGTTGCGCAGTGGTAGGCCCGACCACCCTTCTGATGCTCTTGAAGGCAGGATTCATGGACTCGGGTGGGGCAGTCGCGCGTCTTGCACCGCACACACTGTCCTTATGGTCAGCGGCACATCATGGGAGAAATTGATCGTACCTGCAACACATCGGCGTGGCAAATCATGCATTCCAGCACCCCAAGGCCACGGATGAACACGCTAAGCTCCAAGAAGGCACGGATGCCGAGGGTGATCTGATCGTCGTTGAAAATACTGAAAGCCAACCACTTTTGCTGGAGCAATTGGTCGACCAACGCGCGGACTTCGGACACTTTGTTGGTTCCGTCGCGCAAATTGGACAACTCCAAGCGATCAATTTCTCCGTCCTCACTAGCACACCGATGGATTGAGGAATGTCGAGCATGCGGACAATGCAGGACGTACTTTTCGACGATGTGTACAATCGCCTTGCGAAAGAACACAATTTCCCTGTGCATGAAGCGTTAGGCGAAAAATGGAGGTGACGCCGCTACCATGGCTTGAAGTTGGAACTCATCGCAGCCAAACTGTCGTTACTCTATGCAAAGATAGCGTCACTTGATGAAAGGGCGGATAGGTATGTGTGTACGTACCAAGTTGACAACGCCAATATACATGTGTCCGTTGTCGTACATGGTTTGCTTGATGTCCAAGGAATAACTTCGGAGCTCCTTCGCGATGGATTCTCGCAGCTCGTCTAGGTCATGCTGGGAAAACTCTACAAACAGCATCCTCATCAGGACCTCGCATGAACCCACCACCTCACCTTGGTCAAACAATTCCTCGCACGTGGACTTGAATTCCGTGTCGATCAACGCTCCATTCACCTATGTCATCCCGTCTAAGCGTCCCTGTGGCTTCGACCCTGATGAGATCCCTTACCATGAGGATTTGGACCAGCTTCTGCTTACTCTCATGCATGGCGGTTCAGCGGTGTCGGCGGCGATTCCAAATGAAATTTGGCGGGTCGAATCGAATGAAATCATGTGATTGGATATAAAGTAGCGAATCAATCAATCATTCAGCAGTATTTTTATCCAATCAAATTCCAGTATTTTTTTTCCATCATTTGAGGTCGATTTTGAAATGCACAGGACGATGTTCGGTCTTCGCCTTCGCGCAGTCCATGGCAACCGCGTTGGCTTATCGCGTGCGTCGTGCCGAGGCCTGTCAGGCTTCACGATCGTCACGGACGCTCCTGCCACGGTTAATGCTTCATCCATGGAGTTGACCCCGGAGCAAGTGGTGTACCAATTGGACCAACATATCATTGGACAGACGGATGCGAAGAAGGCGGTGGCCGTGGCGCTGCGCAACCGCTGGCGGCGCCGTCAAATCGAAGGACCGATTCGGGCAGAGATTTCGCCCATGAATATTCTCATGAGCGGACCCACGGGGTCGGGCAAAACGGAGATTGCGCGGCGGTTGGCAACGTTGACAGCGTCGCCGTTCATCAAAGTGGAAGCGACCAAGTTCACAGAAATCGGCGTCTTTGGCGCGAATGCCGAGTCCATGGTGAAGGACCTCGTGGAAGTGGCCGTGGAGATGGAGCGCACCGCAGTCCTGAAGAAGAATGCCACGGCAGCGCGGGACCGCGCCATCGACCGCCTTGTGGCCGCCTTGACCGTGCGCACCGAGCTCGTGTCCGAGGCGTTGCGGCGCCGTCTTCGCGAGGACATTGCATCTGGCGCCGCCGACGACAAGCTCGTAACTGTCAAGCTAAAGCCCGTGCAGTCGTCGTCGCAGAAATCTCGCATGATGAGTGACGTAATGATATATCATGGGATAGCTACTACTACAACCTCGAAGCAGCAGCTTGTAGCTCACGTTTGAGGCTATGGTAGATGGACATGCCGCCGGAACTGGATCAAGCGATGCGGCAAGTGTCGGAGATGCTGGGCAAACTGAACGGATCCAAGTCGACCAACTCGAAGGGGTCGTCCACTGCTAACTCGCATCAGACGCTAACCGTCAAGGAAGCGCTGCCGAAACTCCAGGCCGAAGAAGCGGCGTCGTTCGTCGTCGAGCAAGACATTGTACGCCGCGCCTTGGAGAACGTCCAGAGCAACGGCATCATCTTCCTGGACGAGATCGACAAACTTGCTAGCGAACGGCATAGCCACACGAGCAGCTTCCGCAAGGGCGAAGGGGTCCAAAAGGAGTTGCTAGCTCTCACCGAAGGCTGCGCCGTGACCACCCGGTACCTGCCAACAAACGCTTAACCCCCAAAACTTGACGTACATTACGCTTGTATATGTAGCCATGGCGTCGTCTACACGGACCACATCCTCTTCATCGCCAGCGGTACGCCGATCGTCCATCGCTTTGTCTAGTCATTGTTTATGGTTTTGTAGGAGCGTTTCATAACGTCAGCCCATCCGACTTGATGCCCGAGCTCCAAGGTCGACTGCCCATTCGCGTCAACTTGACTCCGCTGACAGCTCAAGACTTTGAGCGGATTCTCACCGAGACCCAGGTATGCATTGTTGTCCTTTCTTGGAGTGTATGACTCGATGATGAACCATCCACATTGCACATATTTGCACATTGCAGTTCAATCTCCTCGACCAAGTCCGCGCCCTCATGGATACGGAGCGGGTGGCGGTGACGTTTACCCCCGACGCCGTCCACGAGATCGCGCACGTATCCGCCAAGGTCAACAGCCAGACGGACAACATTGGCGCGCGGCGGCTGGCCACGGTCGTGAGCAAGATCACCGAGCACATGTCGTTCCACGCGCCAGCGCTCGCGGGCACGGATGTGGTCATTGACAAGAGCTACGTCCAAGCGCATCTCAAGGACATACTCAAGCAAACCGACTTGACCAAGTACATTCTGTAGAAAACTAGCATATCAGGATGGTGTCTGTCGACTTTTCCAGTTACTATTTGGTTGAATCCACAACGAGACCCCAAGTACATAGGAGATCTTTTGCAGCAATTATATAAATTTAGCCACGATCCATGGGTTTCCTACTTCTTTCTTGTTGTGGACGCCATGTCGTCTCGACGGGGCTTCTTGGGTGCTATTTCTTCTTCAGAAGTCGATGAATACAGCGGAGGTGGCGGCGCGGCCACGTCCAGGGGCTCTGCCGTCGCCGCCTTCTTCTTTGGTTTGGTGCTTCGATGGTTGGAACGGGCATGGCTAGTTCGTCTGGGCTGTTTGAGGGACTTCTTGTCGACAGCTGCTGCTCCCCCAGAGGCGGCGGCGGCAGCAGTCGCCGCGGGTGTGTCTGTCGTCCCGCGCTCAAACAGCACGCCTTGCGGGGCGGAACAGCTCGCGTGGATCTCATCCCACCGATTCATCCAACACACAAACGGCTACGACATATAACCAATCGACGTCCCACACCACATCGCCGCGAGGTGGTCGTTACCTGGGGAACTTTGATCGGGTCCATGCCACCCAAGAGCGGGCGCTTCTTGCCGCACTCGACGCACGACACATGCTGCCGCTCGCCCAGGTCCTCCTTCATGTCGGCGTACTTGAGCTCCCCCAGCGCCTTCTCCATGCGCTTCAACCGCTGCGCAAACTGATGCACAAACTTGCGCTCGCGAATGCTGTGCATGTCCGATCCTCCGTGCGACGCCGCGGGTGCCGTTGTCGTCTCTTCCACCGCCGAACATTTCTAGCACAAAGAGATTTAGAGTAGCTGCAATGGTATCGACACACTAGGATACAGTGTCACAGAGACCGGCCAGTCTGGTACGTACGTTGAATTTCCGACTCCACTTGTTCATTCGGCAGTACCACGTCGTGGGCAGTGCCGACACATCCACAGAGTCTGCCAAAGTACAAAAAATCGAGTGAGTCATCATGGGTAGTAAGTACTATGTACTTACTGTACTTGAGCTAGTAAGTACTAGGTACAGCGTGTCGAAATGGAAGTATATATATATATATAATATATATATGTACCTGGCAGCTTTCTCCACTTTTGGCACTTGTCACACTGGACCCAGTTCTCCTCTTTGACGGGCGCCGCCGGGGCTGCTTTCATGAGCGGTTGTTTGCTGGAGTTGGCTTCTGGCTGGTGGGCGTCGTCGAGGGGTGTGTCGATGGTGTCGTGGTCGTTCTCGTTCGGGTCGGCGGCCTTGGTGGTTTCGTCTTGGTTGTGTGTACTGGCGGCGCTCGTCTCGTCCTTGGTCTCGTCGTTGGTGTCGATGTAAATCCCAACTTGAAAGCCATAGTAATTGAGGCTGTCCTCCGTGTCGGGAAAGTTGGGCATGTTCGTCGGCCACAACGATGTCACGTATTTGAGTCGATCCAGTGGACTCATGTCGGCCGTTCGGAGCGCCGCCGTCTCATCGACTTCGTGCATGTCGTCTTGGTTCAATGCATGCCTCCTACCACAGAATACGTCAAGATGATGGTTCCATTGTGGGATGTCGTCACTTCTTGCGGTCCATTTCCACTTCGGTCAGATACTGTGCCAGCATGGCGTGTCGTAACCGCATGATTTCTTCGTCGCGGGAACGAGGCGGCATGCCATACTCGAGCTCGAACTGCGCTCGTGTCAACGTCGTACTATGGTAATGAATCACGCACTCCGACACGCAGCGGTAGATCGTCGTGGGGTCCTTGGGCTTGATAAGCGTCGTGTCAAAGATATCTGGGAGGTCTTGCGTTGCTTTGTCCCAGTGCAACAAGTACACACACAACTTTTCCCCAACAAGCGGTTCCTTGGTCCAGTCGTCTACACATGGACGTCCGCCATGACGTTGTCAAAGCATTGCGGCAAAAACCATGATGGAATGAGATGCCACATACCATAAGACGAGCTCCGCGGTGACGACGAGTCGTAGCTTTCGTTGTCCGAGTCAGCCATGGTGATGAAGTGCCTGCCGCGCGCCGACGCACTCGACTACCGATGGACAAAAAATGGAATCTGCTCACGCAAGCATCCGGATAACTGGATGATACGGTTTCATTTCATCCAGAGACATTTCGAAAGTGTGAAAGTACATCAACACGTGCGACATTCGGCAGTGCCGTTAGGAAGATGCGAACGCAGCCCTCCATGGCTCGCATTCATGACACTGGCCGGTAGTCATCATGGCTAGGATGTATGTACATGAGGATGTGGGATTCGTTTGCCACGGCTTGCCTCTGGTTGCCAGCGGTGTCCGTCGCACACCAAAATTGGAAGTACACTCGTGCCTTTCATCTTTTGAAAAATAGTGGCCTTGTACTTCCAACACTGCGCCCGTTGTTGTTGCCACCAAAGTCACCTAGTCAACTCGACGTTTGCTTCTTCAAAGGGTGTTTAGGTTGCTGGCAACTCACGCCATACTAGTAGGGATGTAACCATAGAAAATCATGGGTCGATGAAAATTGCATGGTGGCGGTAGCTTATCGCGTCACGAACGACACGAACTTCATGGCGAGGAAGGTGCCGATTTTGACGACGGCAATACACAGCCCGAGAAAGCCGACGTTGGGCACGTTGTTGTCTGCGGAAAGGCCGCCGCCAAACATTTCAAACACGTATGCCGACACGGTCGTGTTCTCCCGTGACAGAATGGTACCTTTCGAGCTGAGGGCGATGGACGCATGGTTGTCTGCATATTGGGTGCACATCATGCCTTCGAGCACATAATGCAGCGGAGACATCCAGTACATGAAGCTCCACGCCGCGGGGATGTTGTCCTTGTGGATGAAGAACCCCGCAAACAACGACATGAGTGAGTTCAGCCCGCCCGTGGCCATCACAGCGGTGCGCAGGTCGGGTAATATCACCACAAGCAACTGCCCCAAGTACGTGGCAAACAGATTGTACAAAAAGTAGTAGCCGCAGAACCACGCGAACGCGTCCGCGGTCGCTCTGAGACCCACGAGAATGTAAAAGAGCCCCGAAAACACGAGCGAATTCATCACCACGTACGGCACTTCGACCAGTGCAAACACAATCGCGTACGGCAATGTCGCGTACATGCCCGAGGCGCGCTCTCGGAAGAACACCATGCGTTCGGCATCCACCACCGGCAGCCCTAGCGATTCATTCACTCAACTCATATACACTTTCATGGATTTCGAGATGTACGACAACAATAAAACCAAGCATCGATACGAATCCACGACCAAACGACTCGTGAACGAGTTCACAAGCAGTACCAGTGATGACAGAGATGATGCCCATGAACAGCGGCCCGACAAACACAAGCAACGCTTGCGACTGGAGCTGGGTCGTGTACTGGAGCCCGTCGCCGCGTCGGTAGAGTACTCCAAAGATGCCGGCCACGAACACCGTAATGAGCACTCGTCCGAGGCTATACTCGCGCGTCCGCCAGTACTTTCGAGTCGTGCGGAGCCCGAGGTAGTACAGCTGCGTCGCGTAGTTGCTTTGTCGACGTCGCGTTGGCATTCGAAGTTGCGTTGGAGCGGACGCGGCGGCGATCGTTCGTTCGTTGTCGGTATACAGAGCGGACGCCTTGTAAATGGACGAAAAGTCGGTCCGCGGGTTGGCGGCCATCACGTCGAGCATGTACGAAGCAGGGTTTTCGCGGTCGCGGCACTTCCGGATGCCCGGAATGGCCTCAAAGTACTCGACGATCGCATTGCCACCGTTCAAGGGGCCAACGTACACCATGTTGGCGCCCGTACGAAGCAACACCAGAGCGTCAAACATGGCAAACAGCACAAAGCTCGGCTGGTGGATTGTGCAAATCACCGTGCGGCCGGACCGGGCGATGCGCAAGATGGCGTCCAGCACGACCTTGGCAGCGTGGACGTCTAATCCGCTTGTGGGTTCATCCCTACAACAAGCAACAGTGTCACAAAGATGAATGTGTGTGTAGGCCTACGGACAGAAACAGGATGGACGGGTTGGCGACCAACTCGACGCCGATGGTCACGCGCTTGAACTGTTCGTTAGACAAGTCCGAGATGCGCTTGCCGCGGTCGCCATGTAGCTCCAAAATGTCGAGCGTGGCCTGGATAATGCGCGTTACGTCTTCGGATGCCGGAAGTCGCAAGGACGCACTGAACTCGAGCGCTTCTTGCACCGTTGCCGTCAAGCAGTGCAAGTCGAATTGCTCCACGTAACCAAACTGCTTTTGCACCGACCGCATCAGTGCATTTCCGTTCATGTCCATCAATCCTACCAAATCGCAAATCCAGTCGTCATGGTCAATATGAATGATCGGGGGGGGATACCTTTGATTTTGCCAGAATTTTTCCGGCCGGCCAGCACGTCCAGCAACGTGCTTTTCCCCGCCCCACTTGTCCCCATAAGCGCCGTCATCGTGCCCGGTACAAACTGTCCGTGAATACCACAGAGTAAATCCATAAAATACCACAGAGTAAATCCATGCTGCCGCCAACTTGTTTACCCCCCCTCCAACCCCCCCATTTCTTTGGTTTCTATCGCAACAACCAGTCATTAGGAGATGGTTGTTAGGATGGTACGTCGACTAGTTCGTACGGGGATGCTGTAGTGCAAGTCCTGAAATGTCAGCGTCACAGGAACAAACGAAGCTGTCGTCGACGACGCGTTCTTGGTGGCGACTGCCGAGGACACCAAGTCGACTTGCCTTCGTGCTTTGGACACATATTGTTTGCGATATCGTACAAACCGGTATCCGATGGCTGTGAGCCCCGCCAAGCCAATGTAAACCCCCCCAAGGTATAGAATGGCCCAGCCAACGTACTTGGACTCTACCGGAATTCCATATAGTTGGACGTAGTAGTCGCCCATGCGAAGGGGTAGCTTGATGTGCATGGTGTCGTATTCCGGCAAAGACGACTGGTATTCATTGAGCATGACGGCCCAGAATGCCCAGCTGCCAGGGTTGATGTTGAACAGCCACACAAAGTAGCTAGGCACGGACGGTCCCGGGATCGCAAAGCCGGAAAAGATGATTAGAATGAAGCACACAGCGGCCCCGAGGATGAGTCCGGACACGGCGGACGGGGCAAACGCGGCGATACACTTGAACACTTGCGTGACGCACGCGCTGTTGAGAAAGATGATGGCGTAGTAGACACCGTACTGGTCGCCGTGGTTGGTGGGTGAGAATTCGCACATCCAGTACGTTGTCACAGTGAACAAGAACACCTGGAACGCCGTGCAGAGCATTTCGATCACGCTTTCAGCCGCAGCATATGCCCACGCGGGGTACAGTTGGAACAAGGCTTGCTTCTGAAACACCCCTCGAAGCTACAAACGTGGGTCGAAATAGAGGGGGCTTTGGGGGGGGCGGTCGTCTACATACCTGGATGGTGTAGGCAATGTTGGCGAGGGTGGTCACCGATGTAAAGAGAAGCGTGAGAAACATGAGCCCGATCTTGGACGGCACGTTGGGCGGGTCATACCCGAGCTTGCCGAACAGCGACCCAATCGCACTCCCCATTACGATGCTTTGGCCAAACCGGATCATGTTGAACTTTGTGTCGCGGGATACGAGTTTGAACTGTCGTTGGAACACGCGGCGCACGATTTGGAACGATGAACGTCGGTGTCGACATGATTGTGGAGCTCCAGAAGGGGGAGTTGAAGGGGGCGGGGGCTGCTCGTCGGAGGACGGGGCGACCTTAAGCCCATGGCCGTCCGCCACGACGGCCTCCACTGGTCGGGGAAAATGCAGCTTGGTAACGCACGACGATTCTTTGAACGCTTGATGAAACTCGATTGCCGTCGCTAAGAACCGTCCAAACAGCACAAGTACAGTAGTTACATGTTGAATGGTTTGTTGGAGTTACCTGGCACTCTCAACATATTCGGGTCTTTGAAGGCCCAGCCGTGCATTGACGTCACTTCCTGGAGAAAGTCGGCGTCATCGGTGTTTGGGGGGCGTTGGAACCCAAGCGACTTGAAGAAGTCGACGGCGTATGTCGCCGGACCAAAGTACGCGAGGTGACCTTCCGTGAGGATGAGCACGTTGTCAAACAGGGCAAACACTTCAGGAGGGGGCTGTAACAACGCCGCCACGGCCGTATACTGCAGCGCCGTGCACATGTCCCTGAGCTTTTGCGTGATGTCGGTGGCCACCGTCGTGTCCAACCCCGTCGTGAATTCAGCACGGGGCTTCGTCCGGTGAGCATTTCGCCCAGCGTGACTCGCCGCCGCTGCCCTCCGCTCACCCCCCGAACAAGATCATCGCCCACGAGGGTGTGCTGGCACCCTGTCAGGCCTAGCATATCGATGATGGCGTCGGTACCGTCCGCCGTGTTCAACGTCGATCCATCGTATGATCGACAGGCGTGCGCAAACTTGAGGGTTTCATGGACGGTGAGGGTTGGGATGTGCTCGTCCTTTTGTCCGGCAAACGTCACGAGATGTCGTAGCTCCCCTGACGGCAAGCGAGCAGTGGGGATGCCGTTGTACGCAACACTTCCAGACACGTGTAAGGGTGCCGTAGGAAACACCCCCGCGATGGCTTTGAGGAGACTCGTCTTGCCACACCCGGGGGGGCCGAGCACGAGCGTCATGCTCCCGACTTTGAGGCGCGCCGTGACGTCAAACAGGACAAACTCCCGGCCGCCGCTTGTCGCCTTGCGCCATGTCAGTCCAGACACGCATATCTCGGTCGGTGGGCCGGTCGCGCCTTGTGTCTTGAGAGTCTCAAGGAACGCTGCGTACTTGGATTGCGTTCCCGCTGCCATGGCTAACATATGCAATCAAAACCAGCGGTTTCAATCCCACCCACGATCAAATGCATGCATGTTTTTTTGGTACTGGTCTATTCTATTTTGGTCACATGTGACACTTGAACCCGACACAAAGTGTGAGAGATCGAGCGATAGCATGAAGGCACCTCGGCAACTATAACACCCGCGCGCATCCAACACATTTAGATGCTCACATATGATTTTCTCAATCATATATGTAACTTGAAGTAGAGTGTCATCGTCCTGGACGTAGCTTATTGTGTTGTCGGGTATCATCGCGTTACGTGGGAAATATAGGCTTGCGATAACATGTTGCCCACACGAAGGAGCACAATCCACGTCAAGAGCGCGATGATGTCTTGGTATCGTACAAGTTGGACCCGTCAAAGACCGAGTCGGCGTTCTGACTGACGGTTACCGGGTTGGGGGCCAACGCGCCCGTGGATGCCGAGCCTAGTGTCACGTTGGTGTCATTTCGGAGGAACTGTACCCCCTCCATCATTTAGTACAAGGGGCTGAGCCAGCACAAGGCGACCCACGCGGCGGGTATCTTTTCGCGGTGGACAATGAAGCCCGAAAAGATGGAAAATACAGAGTTCAGGGCATCCGACACCACTGTCACGGTACGTACGTCGGGCAGCATGGTCGCGACGAACTGGCACAAACTGTAGCCGAAAAACAGCCCGAAGAACCAGCCAAGGGTGTTGGGGGTCGGGTAAAGCCCCACGAAGTGGTAGAAAGAGCAGGTCAAACACGGTCGTATTGAACGCCATGTACGGCAGCTCGACAATTCCGACTGCCAGCGAGTATGACAGCGCGGCGTATATCCGAACACGAGGCGCTCCGCATCGACCACGGGTAGACCTAGACCACACACGAACTTTGAAGCTGCCTTGAACACGAGAGGGGAGGGGGGGTTGTAGTTATTCGGGGGCAAGGGGAATGCATTACGTTTGAAGTCGTCTCAAAATGAGGTTTAGGGGGACCAACCTGTGATGACAGCGATCACGCGATTAACATCAGGCCCATTTGAGAGTCCACATCGCTCATGGACGTAAAGAGAATGGTGAGGAAGAACTGTCCGGCTTTGGACACGACGGACGCCGGGCTGGGGTCCATTTACCAGAATAGCGACCCGATGATCAGCCCAAACACTGCACTTTGCCCCACGCGAACTTCATTGAATCGGTTGTCCCGTTGTACCTACTTGACTTGGAGTTGGAGCACAAGCGCAAACCTTGAGCAACGATCGGTTGACGTTGGCGACGTTTTGCCGTTGCTATGCGTGTTGGCAACACCAGCGCCGACGCAAAAGGGGACGTTTGAAATGCCGTCTGAAAATCGAGGGGGGAGCCGGGCACCGCACCGGGGAAGGTCGGATCCCGCGTCAATTTGCCCAAGACGGTCGACACTTGTTGGTTGAATTCGACGGCGTCCACCCGGTCCGGACGAATGTACCCGATCGAGTGAAAGTACGGCACGCAGGCCACCGCGGTCCAAAGTAGCACACGGGGCCTTCGTTCAATAGCAGGATGTTGTCGAACAGGGCAAACACTCCGGGCGGGGGCTGCAACAGCGAGCACAAGAGCGTGTACTGGCGCCTCGTGCACATGCCCCACAGCTTGGTCGTCAAATTGAGTGCCACAGTTGTGTCCATCCCCTGTCGTGAACTCGTCCAAGAGAAGCAGGGTCGTTTGCCCAGTCATCATTTGACCGACAGATACCCGTCGGCGTTGCTCCCCGCTGATGCCGCGGATCATCGCGTTGCCCATGCGAGTGTGGGCACATGTGGCCAGCCCCAACGCGTGCACCATCGCCGGCGTCGACCGCTGCCATTCGGTGCTGTTGGAAGGCCCACGGCACGCGTCTGTGAACTCGAACGTTTCCAACACGGTGAGCGTCGGAATGTGCTCGTCGGTTTGGCCGACAAACGTCGCAATGTCTTCGACGTGAATGTCGCGGGGACTGAGGCCGTTGTACGACACTGAGCCGGATATGTGGGGCGATAAAGTGCCACCTCCTTTGTAGTGAAACACGCCCGCCAACGTCTTCAAAAATGCTGCTTTGACACACTGGGGCGGACCCAGGACCTACCTCCACCGGAAATGGAGTGAATTAAAGATGGAAGTTATTGCCGTAAAGATGAAGTAGTAAATTGAACTACATAATGCCAATGCAAGGAAGATATACAGTAGACGTTGAAATAGAGATATATTGATTTGCTTGCGGAAATGTGCGACGAAGCGACCAGCACGTACCCCACGGCCGCGGACAAGACGCCGACGCCAATCATGACATACCCGATGGTGGTGTCCGGATCGGGGTAGACAAACGTGCCGAGCATGATCCGCTTCGGTTCCGTCCATAGCTGCATGCTCTAGTCCAGGACTTCGTACAAGCTGACCGCCGGTTCGCGCTTGAGGCCGGGCGACAGCGCGTCGTGAAAGTGGCATGGCGCGCCGTGAACACGCCGGGGTACACACACACGTTATCGGTGCAGTCTTTGTTGGTTTGGCTTGCAGGTCCACGTCTCACAGTGCCGACACCTGGAACGTCCTAGTGAACGTCTCGCACGCGTTTGGATACAAGTTGACTTTGAACGCGTCATCCCTCTTGGTGTCGGCCAAATCGGCGACAACGTACAACTTGATGAGCCGGATCGTCGGCATTCGGTTGTCCGAGTACAGTGTCACAGGCTCGACAAACGACGGGGACGACGCCGGCGTAATATTGCGTAAACGATAGGTACTCGTTCATGGTCGCCACCGCTGGGACTACTGATGCACGTCCACAACGAGCTGGCGAGTGTGGCGTTGACAGCGATGGATGCGAGGAGTTCCGAACCGGGCATGGCGGCCGACGACGCGAACAACGCTTCCGCCAGCACTTGCGCGGCTTGGACAATGTTGGCGGCGGCGGTGTCCGAGGTGTTGGTATCCCACCAGCTGTGGTAGTTGTCCTACCTCGTGCACGTACATCAAACGTTTACGTGTATGCGTAGTACCAATGTCGTGGTGTCAGGCACTAGCGTGCCGTGGAGGTCGTGCAATACAATCGTCGACAGGTATTTGGGTTATCAAAATGTAAAGTGGTCGAGGGTGACTTCAAAGGGGTCGTCGGCTAGGCGGGTGTCTTGGAGGTGTTGCAGATACGTTGTAAAGTCATCCATCGTCGTGGCTTGTTGGTCATGGCCACAGACGACGCCAATGTGTAACGGCAATACATACAACAATATCGGTTTCAAAACATTGTCGGTTACATGCCCTCGACGACGACGAGGCGTATGTTCAAAGTGCCTCATGAAGGTCCATAATGCCAATAAAAAAGCTTCTACGGGTGGAACGAAGGACCAACCCACGAGACTGAATACCGGCCAACTCATCAAGTCGTACTGGTCGTTCATCACCAAGAACGACGTGGCAGGCCTCGAAGTGTTTCTAGCTCGGCACGGACACAGCGTGGACATGGATTCACGGCTAGCGGCAGCCATGCAGGCCACGGGGTTGCACGTCGCTGTCCAGAAGAACAACCCCGCCATGGCGAGTGTCTTGCTCGAGCACGGGGTCAACGTGAACGCGCAAAACAAGGTCTGCCATGACCTCTAGACGTTTGACAAATGTGGGCGTCCAGGTGGGTTCCACGGCGCTGCATGTCGCGTGCAAGCAAGGATTCCCAGACATGCTTCGGCTGCTCATTGACGCCGACGCCGACTTTGGGCTCCTCGATGGGGTAGCTTTGTGAGGGTGGATTGAACACGGCTATGACATTTGACGATGGTGCAATGTGTGAATAGTCGCAGCGGGCGCCGTTTGAGTTTGCATCGTGGGCGCTGGTCGTCGACACGATTGTGGACCCCCTGCGGCAACAAGTCGCCGCCCTCGAAACCAGCGAACAAGAATCCGTAAGAGCTCGGTTGACCATGTGGTCATGTGGTTCCCACGACGAGCTATGTCTAGCAACGCGCCCACGAGCGTTTGGAGGAAGAAACATGCCGGTTGCAACTGGCAGCCCACGCCGCAGAAATGGATGTCCAAGATGTCTGGAGCCAGCAACACGAAGAGTGGATGGTAGTTACTGTCGTTTTGATGACATTGGCTATCGATCGATCCGGTGGCTGTAGGCTTTTCGCGAGAAAAGTCGGCTGCAGGATGATCGCCGTAGCCACTTGGTGTTGACAAAGCGGACCCTCAAGCAGCTGGACGACAACGTGCGGGCTCAACGCGCCATCAGTACATCTAACACGTCGTTGCATTGATTGAACGGGGTATTAGGCAATGAACTGCATGCACAGTTGGAGGAGTCGTTGTCTCGATATCGTTACACGATTGCACAGGCGGACGCGGCCAAGGACTTGCTGGACCGCCAAATTGAGTGTGTGGCCCAGATGCATCGTGTCAAAGTACTGATTTCACGTCATTCTGATTCTGATCTGTCACGTTCATGCTCAGTACCTACTGCGAATACGTAGGACGAGCACACGGCAGAGTACAACGATAAGCTGGGGGTCGTGGACGCGATGGTGCAATGTCCCAACGACGAAGACGTCCAAGTGTGGGGCGCGTACATGGCGTGCTGCTTGACTGCTGGTACGTTTTTGGCGAATCAGACTCAGACTCAATGGATCCTTAGCATGCAGAATCAGAAACGTTTATTCCTTACAGGATAACGTAGACACGAGTGAAAGCAACACCATGTCGTGGCGCCTCGTGAATCAGAACATTTTTCCAGCGCTGAAAGACGCGATCGAGCGTTTTCCTCTTTGCGCCATCCTTCAAGTAATGTTACAATTCCAATTTTCCATCGTCACCGAAACATGTGCTAATTAATTATGTCTTTAGGACCATGCGATCAACACCGTCCGCCAAATCTGCCTGGCTCAACGTACTTTGATTGTTCACGCTATAGTCGTCATGCATGCCATTAGCATCGGCCATCGACCAATGCATGCAGCACAAGTTTGTTGAGAACGTCCAAGCTGCCGCGAGACGATTCCGCGACAACCTTGCGTTCGTCAGGTAGTTTCACACGCACGTTGATGACAATCGATCTCGTTCCACAGAAGCGCATCGTTATGGTCGAGGTAGCGTCTGTGTGGGGGCATTGCGTGCCATGTTGTTGCCGACGGGGTCGGACCCGCGCTCCGCCACTCAAATCAAACACACGGCCAAATTCAGCAGCGACCACCACGAGTACTTGATCGAGTTGTTTGTTCGCGCGAGGACCGCCGAGGTACTTTGAAACGTTCCACGTCGCATCATCATCGAGTAAGTGCAATGTTAACTGTAGCCGATGCCGACACCGTCCGTAGTCGAAGACTTGTGCTGTGTGCTGTTTGTGCTGGCCAAGTACAACTGCCGGCAGTTATTCCTAGATCGAGACTGCATAGTGTTGGACACGGCGCTGTTCCTCCTCGTGCAATCCTCCCCACCCTCCCGCCGCCCGACCGAGGTCATGGCGAGAAGCCTCCTCGGCATCGTCTCGTTGCTGTCCATCCCCGCGGGTATGTTTGTGTTTGTCCTTGTATTTAATGTTGTGAATGGCCGTCGATTGGAGGGCAGACCCAAAGGCCCCCGAGCAGACGCCGCTGCCGTCGTGCTACACGACGTTCGGGCTGGCCAAAGTGACTCCCGTGATTGAAACGTACGCCAACAACCCAGACATTGTCTTGTGGGGTATTCGGTTGCTGCGGAACTTGGCGACGCGGGACGGTGCGTTGTTCTCATCGTTGCTACAACCTACGGGATGAGACACGAGTTGTAGCCGTGGCGCGGGACCAAGTGAATCGAAGCGGCATCGAACACATCTTGTCCAGCCTGGCCAAACATCGCGGGGCCCCCGCGCTTCGCGTGTCCATTCTCGAGCTCATCTACGTGGCGTTTACGACCAATTACACGCGACTGAACCAAGTGGACGAGCTCTCGACGATGGTGCTCAATTGTGTGACACTGCTCCTTCTCGACCACGAAGACCACCACGCCGTGCAAGTGTTGGCGCTGCAGAACTTGGTCACGGCGTCTCAGCACGGTGCATACAGATACCTCGGAATAAATGGGTGGCTCAAAGCGTTCGTATGGTAGCATCCAATTTGGAGCACCTGATGGTGTCCAAACAAGTGATTGGTCCGTGCGTGCTGTCTCTGCTTCAACTGGCAGCCGCCCACGCATTCCCGGCGACTGCAGACAGGGACACCATCTTCGTGTGGGGGCTACGATTCATGGTCGTCATGGGTCAATACGGTACGTGACAATGGTGACGATGGAATCGTAACGATGGCACAGACCGAGTGCGCAACCCCGTTGAGTTTGTCGACAGTGCCACGTCTAGCGGTCTCGTCGCATATTTATTGGCGTCAATTCAGTCGGTGGACGACCGCATTCAAAACCTCGTCAACGTTCTGCGACGCATGCTTCAGGATGCAGCAGTCGTCACTCAAGTTGCCGCCACCACCTCCGGTCGATGACAACCAACCATTGCGTTCAGACTGCATTACATTATCCTCCAAACAAACTCAAAACGGCAACTTGGACTCGTCACAATACAGAGCCAGCCTACTCCATATCCACTAATCATGCCACGAAATTACGCGCTTGTCCATTTCATCAAGCATAGCATAAGCATCCAGCACGGGATTGTTTATATAACGTCATCACACTTTACACCACTTTTCGCATAAGCTTAACGGCCTTCCCAGAACTTTCGATGCGCTTCGGGGTTACGGTCCAACTGGTCGTCAGTCAGCGGCAGCACTTTGCTAGGAGCGCGCGTCGGGTACTCGACGTACTGCAGTTGGGCGGCATCGCGCAGTCCCCCGAGGCGGTACCCGTACAGGTCTGGCCGCGCATCGTCGCCGTACCACGTCATCCCCGTGGCTGTGCGAAGGCCGGACAGGTGGAAGATGCCAACGTCCGTCCACTCGACGCCCGGGAGGCGGGTGTCGATGGTCACGGGGGTCTTGGAGCGCTCCAGGGTCGTGGCCGTGCCGCTTCGCTGGCTGAACGCCGCAAGGAAGCTGAATTCGAAAAAGGAAAAGCACCCCGACGACACTCTTTCAACTGCGTTTTCGATCTTGTGGTAGTCGCTGCGACAGAGAAATACGAGCACTTGGGAGACGAGCAGCGCGCCTGGGTCGAGGGGACTGTCGGCGGACGAAGGATGCGGCAACCCGATGTCACGCTCGGCGGCGGGCGTGCTCAGGAACTCCATCACGCCGCGCACCAAGCATTCGCTGAACGCGGCGACCCCCTTGGCCGTCATGGCCTGAATTTGTTCTTCAAAGGCAAACACCAACCCACGTGCAATCCAGTCGCAGATCTACAATGTACAGTGTCACAGACTGAACTACATAGGGGAACCCCCCCTGTGGGACATATACCTCGTCCATTTCAGAAAAGCTGTTTGCATTCGACGAGATGTTATTGACGCGGTCCTCTTCGCGCTTGGCGGCGATGCCTTCCACCTTGTTGGTCAGGCACTGCATGACCATCTGCGCCGGTGGAAACGGAATTTGTTCGCCGATCAGCGTCATATAGCTCGCCATCTTTTCGCCGTCCGAGTACGCTTCCCGTGTCACCATGCCGCTTGCGATAGCCTTGGACGCAATGAAGATCTCGTTCATCTTGGAAAACACAGTCGAGTACACGAGCGAGTACGACGGGTTCTCGTCAATGTACTGCTTCTCCCGCAGTGCCTTTTGCTTGGCGTCGTACTCGGCCATGAGCACCTGGGATTGCGCTTGAAGCGTGTAGATCTTGGCGTACACGTCTTCGGTCCACTCTGCCGACGACGCGGCCTGCTTCCGGACGTCTGCAATGCTCGCATCAAACTCTTTCTTGCGCTCTTGAGCCTCTGCCTTGAGCGCGTTGATTTGACCGGTCAGCGCACTTGTCACGACCTTGAGATTTGTGACATCGCTCTTGACTTCGGTCAAGCCCACTTCCAGTTCGCGTTGATCTAGAGCACACGAGATGCATACGGTTATACTTCAGCGTAAACTTCGTCAGAATACCTCGGACTTTCTTTTCTTCGAGCAGCCGATTGATCGTGTCGATTTGGACGTCAATCTTCTGCGTGTTGCGTCGCAGGTTCTGCTCGGCGAAGGTACGTTGTTGTTGCATCATGCGCAACTGGGTTTCAGCGTTTGCTTTCATGGCAGGGTTTGTCACTTGACGTTTGTACATGTCTTGGCGTTGGTTGAAGCCCATTTCTTCCGCTCGACTGATCGTCATCTATATATATACATCGACGAAGGTAAGTCGTATGGTCCGAAGTGCGGTCTAAGCAGAGGACGTACCAGCTTATCGCGCTTCTGACGCAGCTCGTCGATGGCGTTCCATAGTTCTTCGCTCGGGGTGTCCACTGAGTACTCGGCTTCGTCGCTCATGTTGTCGTCGGCTGTCCTCTTCGAAAATGAGATGCTGGAGAAATCCGTGGTCGTCTCGTAGAATCCTCAGCCAATCAGCATCTAGGATTTGATATGTCGAGACATTTCCCTTAAACCAATGCGTCTCCAAAAGGTTCAAATCTCAATATTTTTTCTCTTTACAATAGTTATATATATGATCCGAATTGTTTTTTCTATTTTATGCATTGACGTACTATTTGATTTAATTACTTTGAAGTACTTGTACGCCAGCACGTTCGACGAACTGTCCTCAACTGCAAGTAGTATCCCATTTCGTCAAATATGAAATATTTTGTAAATATATTGACAAATTTTGTGAATTGGCAGTGATTGGCAAAAACAGGTGGCTTTCGAGGATGAAAGTGGTCAGAGGCATGCATGCCACAGCCATCCTGCACTACTGGCATACTCTGCAATCCGTCATTACCAGTTTGAATCCATGTCGACTACCTCGTCCGAATCCACAGTCTACACCATCGACACGCCTACGGAAGCTCTATGGGCGGTGGTTGACGAGTTGCGAGCGCGCCGTCAGACACTGGTAGCTACATACTCTACCCACATCTAGGATGATTTCTCACGATGTGCCATGGCATATTCACAGTTAGTTAACAGCCGCAACGAGCGACGCAACTACAAACAGCGCGTTGAAATGTTCAGGAAGCAATTGGCGTCGAACCCAGCGATGCGATCAAATGCCGAAATGCAAATCCAGATGATGCGCCAGAAAAAGGACTTCTCCAGGGACAACTTTGAGCGCGACACCGACTCCATCATCAGCCAGATCGAAGCGATTGAGCGGCTGTTGGACCAACAAAAGGTCCGAACGGCGGGCTCGTCCTTGCCGCCCCAGAGCTCGAAGGATTCGGCAACATTGAAAGCTTCCATCGACCGACTGTCGTTGCAATGGGGCGAGTTGCGCTCGGAAGTGAACATCTTCAAGAGTGAATTCTTACGTCAGCTGGACCAACTCCGACAAGTCGTGGCGACGTTGCAAAAGTAGGTCGACGTCTCACGCCTCGTTGCATACGTAGATCTACACTAGTACTAGTGTAGTCTGTCCATGTCCTTGTAATGCCATTCCTAATGCAAGAAACCACAAGGCTTCAGTTATTGGGGGTTTCGGGGTGTTCTGACAGCACGTTGCTGGTCGGGCATACTCGACGTAATGGAGTTGGGTGGCATCTCGCAGCCAGCCCCCCTTGGAGGTACCAGAAATAATCTCGGACGAGATATTACTATAGGTAGAAAGAGAACTTTGCACATGCATATATAAACCTGAAATGGACACTCGAGGCGCTCGAACGGCGCAAGGGTAGACCCCTCCTACCCTAGTGGATAGGAGGGGTCTACCCTAGTGGATAGGAGGGGTCTACCCTTGCGCCGTTAATCCCTTTTGTCGTCGTCGGCCTCCCTGTAACTCGACGGGGGCGGACAGCCGAGTTGCAGTGCAGGCCGACGACCGCAAAAGTTTGAAAGGAAGCACCAATCCCGACTCGAAGCAACGAGTGGACCCCCGTGGCGCAACGGGATCGGGGTGTCGAGCGTCAAGATCACGCCTTGCACACATTTTATCCGGATATCGTGACCTTTCACGGCTTCAAGCTGGATAGCACACACTTTATCCGGATGCGATGTCCTTCAAACTCACGTGGCAGCACACGCAAGTAGCGGCGCATCGAGGATGTGTATATATTCCAACACAAGTCGTCGGAATAGTAACACATTCTATAGGAGCTGTACATATTCTTTGGTAGATGGGATTAGTCATCCTCGACGGCCGATGCACCGTCTAAATGCAACGACATATAATCGTCGCATATACAGTGCAAGACACAGAGGCGTAGTTCTAACACGAGCCAAGAACATGGATATGATTACCATGCATACTCGAGGATGCATATCGTCGGAGGTGTGGTATCAGGGAGTTGGACACATGTCTCCCACAACGTATAGGGCATTGTGCCGAACGCGCAATCAGTCGCCACCTACATGCTCACCAATGCATTCTGATCGCTGACGATGACGACAGTACCACGTCCTCGTGATTGCCAACGTTAAGCTACGATTTAACGCAAGGCTGGAATCGAGACGACGTCCTTGATACAGGTTAGGGGTTACACTGTAAGCTTAATGTTACTTTTTCTCCTTTCCCTCATTGACAATATGAGAATTTTCAATTGGATTGCATCACGTGATTTTCGGTTTCATCGTGACGTTGAAGCTCTTGGTGCCTATGGTCGACGGAATTGCATAAGAACCAGGACCGAGCAGTTGATGCGGCTTGGAAGGGTTCTTGTCGAAGCGAGGCTTGGACGCCAACGTCGAGCGCACGCCGTTGGTTCGAGTGCGGCTCTGCGCTCCCACGGCCAAGTCCCGCGGCGACGTGACCTCGTACTGGCCTGGACCCGGCACTTTCATGTACATGGTGTCTTGACCGACTTCGCTGCGGTGGCCTTGCGACAGAAACGGAATCTTCAGGTGCGGATTCGTCGCTACTTTGTGCTGCGGGGGGTTGATCAGGTCGTACTCGCCGACGGCAGGCGCGGAACACGCCCCGACGATGTGGAACTCGGGCACATGGTTGTTGTTTCCCTTGGGGAACCTACGCGGATGACAATCGAGCATTATCGTACGTGATATTAGTGTTGGCGTTATTCCCATCAGTGTATCACATTACCTTCCCGTGGTGCTGCGAAACGCCGACGATGTGTACACGCGAGGACGTCGTCCTCTAGCTGGGGGGGGCGCGGCGGAGTTCTGCAGGGGCTGCTCGTACGTGCCTGGCCCGGGGGTTTGCTCGTCGGGCTCCATGGATTCCGGCGTCATGTTCCACAGAAACCGCTCCGTCGTTGACCCGAATTGGCCCATCCGCCCAATCCCTTGGCGTTGGCGGACCTTCTTCTCCAGTGTCTGGTCGTGGCCTGTCGGGGTGTACGCTCCAGGCCCCTATGATATATAAACAGATGTGTAGTTTTGCTGGGGATTTTAGTATGTTGCTCATGTACCATCGGATTGGCGACTCGCGTTTTGGCTAAACAAGGCCGCTCTGATACGGCTTGGAAGCCCACGCCGTCGTCTCGAAGGGTCGGGCGGGTGTGCATGCGGTCGATGGTGTACCGGTTCTTCTTCTTGTCCACGTACGTGCCTGGGCCAGGGGTCACGTTGCACGTGGGGGTCACGTACGGCGTGTAGATGTTGGATGCGATATCTGTGCGCCCGGACGTGGACCCGAACTGCTCCGTCTTGACCCCTCGAAACTTGGGCTTTTGTACGTGGGTTTGTTGATGCAGGGCCAACAAGAGAGCTTTCTCGTCGTCCTGTTGAATGCGCCGGGGTTCAGGCAGTATGGGCACCTTGGACGCAAACACGGCGCTGGGTTTGTCCGCCTTGTCGAACGTGATCGCAGGGTGAACCTTGGGGTTGTAATGGCCGGGACCCTATGCATACACTCCCCATACGTGACACCGTGTATATACTGAAGACACGTACGGGAATGTGCAGCCGAGGGGACAACTCGTCCCAAACCTCGCGCTTTGTCGTGGACTTTAAGCTTGCGACGGTGGACGTGATGTCACCCCCCGGTTCCCTTCGAACATTGTAGCACGCTGGTCCAACGGTGTCTTGACCCAGCCCCGAGTACGTCGAAGCGGGGGCCGAGTGTCGGTGGAGGTCGCCTTCGCCGTTGGTGCTGTATCCGTAGCTCTGATCCTTTCGCGGAATGGTGGGCACGCCTTGTTTGATCAGGTTGGAGAACTGATGTGACGTCGGACGCATGGCAGTGATCTTGTCGGTGTGTTCGAGATCGCTGGGACACGAGTACGCTCCAGGCCCTGGGTTGTCGAGGACAGTAGATGCAAGGTAGATGGTGGAGCCTGGTGCATGTGGTGCGAACCGAGCCACCTTGTCCACGGAAGCCGAGTATCAGCGTATAATGGCCACGTTGGTAAAACTTACCTTGGTCGCGAACACATTGGATGATTGGCCGTTCGGTGTGCCGGGGTTGTTGCCAGGAGAGACCTCCGTGATGTAGGCCCCAGGACCTGTACAACACCACACCATCAACACGAGAGGCATCGATTCGTATCGATTGGTGTACCTGGAGTGATTGCAGAAGTCCCTGTGTTCTTGTTCAAGTTTCTCTTGTTCGAGCTCGCAAAGGCAGAATAGCTTCGCAGCGCGACATGAGTTGTTGATGTTGGTCATCGTGTGGGTACTCACCTCGGAAGCACATTCGCTTGAATGAGATTCTCTGGTGCATACGATCCTGGTCCAACGACTGCAGGTGTGTGTCCACTGGTAAATGACGTCGCCCGCCTCGACCGCGTCGTGATTGTCATGGCGGAGTGGAATGGGATGGGTCCACGAGCTAAAAATAGAGGTCGCGTCGATTTGTTATTTTGATTGGTTATTTTAGCACGAATCAAAACGTTTTATTTGCTGTAAGGATGGATGATTCGTTGAAAAGCAACCAATCCAACCCTGTCGCATGAACGAACACATTGACAAGCAAGATAGACGGAGCATTCATTCTACTAATTATTCAAATGTGCAGAATCGAAACGACGTCTTAATTTGCAGCATTCATGCGTCGTGGACTTTACCCACACCAGGTGTTACAACCGGAGGGGTTTTATACCACGACGAGCCACACAATGACATAATCAATGACAATATAAGGAAAATGTGTGCATATAGTTTGGTCGTCTCAATTGATTCAGTAACATTGCAGATAGATAATCTTGTTTTCAGTATGGAAAAATAAGAATGAGCATTACAACCTTGAGAACTGTTCCTTCCACACGACGGTGGCGCTGACCAATTTGCCAGATCGTGAGCTGCACTTGTGTCCTTCATTCCGGCTAACCTGCAACAAATGGAGATGGAATACCTGCGATCCAACGTTCAGCTGCCCACGTTGACAATGACCACCACAACCCCCATCAAGTCTGATCCTTTGAAGACAAAGGTCGCCGACGACGTGGGTACTCTACCGGTAGATCTCGAAGGCGAAGCGGATGCGTTGGCCGATGAAGACGATGAAGAGGATAACCAAGCAATACACATCGAGGGGGATCTCGTTCCGCTGCACAGTGCGTTTGTGTCGTGGAAGAGTCCTACCCATGCTAACGAAGATCGCGCCGTGATTTACCGCGGATCTCGGTTCAGCGTGTTTGCAGTCATAGATGGCCACGGCGGGGACTTGGCCTCCGAGTTCGTGAAGACGCATTTAGTGGATATCCTCGACGAGGAGCCAGATCTGACGACCGCGAGCCTTCGTCATGCCACCGCCACGCTCGAGCGGCGGTTTGGAGAGCTCGCCACGGCCGCCAACGACTTCAGCGGCGCTTGTTTTGTGGCGCTGGTGGTCGTGGAGGACGGAAGTCGCACGAGGTTTGTCATCAACTGTGGGGACTGCCGCATTTCTGCGCTGGAGCGACTAAAGAAGCACCGGCGCGAGTACAAGGCGCTGTCCACCGATCACAAGGCGAGCTGTCCCCTCGAAAAGCAGCGCATCGCCAGGGCAGGAGGGTATGTCATCATGGACCGAGTCGCGGGGGTTTTGGCGCCGTCTCGAAGCATCGGGGACCTCGACATGAAGGTACCCGGCATGGAAGGATGGGTGGTAGCCGACCCCGAGATCAACGAGGACGTGCTGTGTCGGGATAGTTTGTACGTGCTGGCGACCGACGGTGTGTGGGACGTCATGTCGGACCGCGACGTGCTGCGTCTTGCAGAAACGTCTTGGCTGGACAACCAAGTAGCGCACGACGGTACCGTCGGGTGCGCGAGTTCATGCGAAGCGATCGCTCAAGATAGCGTCGCCCGCGGCAGTCGCGACGACATCACGTGCATTGTCATTCGAACAGGTGACTGGTGAGCGACGTGGCTTTGCCGTAGCTAAGAGTACATAAACATATATATGCATTCGCCGTTCGTCTAACTACAGCGTCTCCAAAATGGGATACGATCACAGGTCAAGCAACAGCATGTCGTCCAGTCCATCGAATTTCAGTACATTTAGTTTACAACCAAGATTACAAGAGACTTGTGCGTAGGGCATCGGGCAGAGACTCGCCAGCTTCTAGTTTGGCTTGAACGCGGAGCTGCCTTGGTGCGTCCAGGCCGTGAATAAGCGCAAGGATAGCCACGTTGGGTAACTTGGTGCGGGACAAATAATGCTGCGCGGCGTCCTTTGTGTAGCTGGGTACGCGCTCCAGTTGCAGCAATGGATCATCGTCGCCGTCTTGCCCAACGATCCGCATGTACACAACACAATTATCCACCACGTCGCTGCCAATGCGCACGGGGATCGCCACTCGCTTGTAGTACCCAGAGCTGATGCCTTCGAGAATATCCAACGCCTCCAAAGTTGACGCATCTACAGCATACACCTCGCCTGCGATCGGAACTCCTTCGCCGGGTACACTCAGCAAGAATGGCACGAACCGATCGCCGCCCACCACAAGCGGATACGGCGTGCACGTGATGGCATCTCCCAGAAACGTGGCTTTCTTGAGGTCGACTGCTGGACCAAGGTACAACGCATAGTTGGGGAACCCTCGTTTGAGGGTGCCATACACAAACACGTTCGTAGTTTCGGTCGCGGCCACCCCCGCCATCGTCGTCGTGTTGTCGAAGATTGAAACTGTCGGGTATCCGAATGTATGGTCCATGCGTCCATTATCCGGATAGACGAAGAGCGCCATTTTATTGAGACATGATGCTCGTGGCTCGGCGGTGGTGGCGTGCCCCGGCAAGTCTGCGGCCTTCAACATCAGTCCTTCGATCTCGCGCATTGTCCTCGTCAGGAAGCGAAGAAGATGCCGATGCCTTACTTCCACTGTTTGCCTCTTCTACGCGGGAGGCCCTGCGCCGCGGGCTCGAATCGGACGGTTTCTGCATCCTGCGTGGCTTTGCATCCAACGCCGTGGCCCTTGCCATGCGCCGCGAGGCCGAGCGCTTGTTCAAAGACGGATACATGTTTCAGTCCATGTCGGTCGACGAACACGGCAACTCGTTTCCAAAGCACAACGTGTTTGCGTCCGAGCTGGACGGCCACGAATGGGACATTGCACCTACGATCCTACAGTACACGCGCAGCATCATGCTCCAAGCCCCCGACATGCTCAACACGCTCTTCCCCGAGCTTCAAATCAGTTCTCGGGCGTATGCATCCAAGTTGGCCGTGTCTCTCGGAGATGGCGCGTCTTGTACGTCCTACATCCCCACTTGTCGTTTTCTCATGTTACTTGTAGATCCGAAGCACTGCGACACTGCGGGGATGCCCGACCAGCGCAAAGTCACAATGGTGTATTACTTGAACCCACATTGGGAACCTGCGCACGGCGGACAGCTTCAAGTGTACACCAAGGACGGCGGCATCTTGGCCGTAGAACCCGTCTCCGACACATTGGCCGTGTTCTGGAGCGATCAAGTGGTGCATGATGTGCTTCCTTGCACGAACGACCCAAACAACGAGCGGGCTCAGCGGTATGCGTTGACGCTGTGGCTCGTGTCTGATGATCCGAGTCAAATCGTCAACCCGTCGCATCCACTGTACTCGCTTCGTTGCGAGCATTTCGGAGCATAACAAGGATCAATCAATCAATCATCACGTACTTTCGGTGTTTTGTGTTATAACATCAATGTGTTTGTTATAACAACGATTTCTGTGCTATAACAACGTCCGATGAACTCAATGTATATTCATGTCCAGACTTCGATGTTTTGTGTTATAAAATCAATGCGTTTGTTATAACAACGATTTCTGTGTTATACCAACGTCGGATGAACTCAATGTATATTATCCAATCAAAACCGACACCCGCCCATTGTTGCTTGGAACGTTCTTGGAACGTTCTTGGGTGCTTATCGCGTGACTTTGAACTTTTTGATTTCCGCGAGCAGTTTCTTGGCCTCACCTTGTTCAAAATGCTTGCGCACGGGCTCCAAGATCCTATTCAGCCAACAACAGCAACATCGTCACGGTGACAATAACATCATGACGGTGACAACAACAGCAACATCGTCACGGTGACAAGAACAGCATGACGGTGACGTACTGGTTGAGGTATTCCGTGAGCGCCGGCTTCAAGTCGCCGGGGTGGATGGCCTCGGAGAGGTAGTCCACGACCATCTCGTCGTACTCGACGTACGTCCTAGATACGGTGAGAGTTGTTATCTTGTCCCAGGATTCGACTTACTTGTCGCCGCCATAGTCTTCCTTTCGCTTGACAACTACGCCGTCGGGAAACATGGGAAAGATGATGTGCTTCATGTAGTCCATGATGGGGTTGCCGTCGACTTGCGCGGGCGGGCAGTACGCCTTCTTGATCTTGCGGCTCACGTCGGACGCCGTGTCCTCCATGAAGATAGCCGAGTCGGGGTCACTCTTGCTCATTTTTTCCTGGCCTTGCTTCAACCCCATAAGCATGTGGTGGCTGATGATCACAGGCTTGAACTTGATCTTGGCTTCGTCACAGTACTCGCGCGCCAGCATGTTGACCTTGCGCTGGTCCAGACCCAGCTGGCAGATGTCCGCCTTGAGGAAGAACACGTCTGCGCACTGCATGCACGGGTACATCATCTGCGCGGCGCTCATGTCGTCCGCTTCCTTGCGCCCCATGATCGTGCAGCATCGCTGGATGCGCGCCACGTTGAACTTGCGCGCGACGTCGATCACGCGGGTCCAGTACTCGTCCGCGTGCGAGTTGATTTCGTCGGACGCCCACAGAAACTGCACGTTGTCCATGTTCATCCCGACCGCTTTCCAGATCTCAATCATGTACTGCCCGACCTTGCGGATCTTCTTGAGGTCGCCGCCCATCTTGTTGTTGAGCAAGGCAAACCAATCCGCCACCCAAAAGCGGAAAATGCACCCCGCACTTGTCAGCTTGTTGACGTTGATCATGCGCAGCACCCCTTGCGCAATGTGCATGCGTCCGCTGGGCTCAAACCCGTCGTAGCAGATGGGATGCTCCTTCTTCTCCAACAGAACGCGAAGTTCCTCTTCCTTGATGCATTCCTCGCCGACACTTTTGCACAACTCGAAGCGTTCGTCCAGCGACAACGCGCTCTTTTTCCAGTCGCGCACCTCGTGGAGGCGCGATTCGTACACGATGGGCGCCGCGGCAGCGGCCTTCTTGGAGGGCTTCGTTGCCGCGACCACTTCTTGCGCCGCTCTGGCAGCTTGAGCTTCCTCCACGGTCAGCTTCTCTTCCAATTCCACGTGCACGTCGGTCACGTCGGCCATGATGCTTTTCTGGTCAGCGAGCTTTTTCCACAATGACCACCCAGGGAACGCGACCAAAGATGCTCTCGTTTGATTGGATAAAAATATAATTATTTCAGCTCATAGCAATTTCATTGGATATAAATCGATTACCTGGTGCAATCCCTGTGTGATGTGGTTTATCTGCGGAACCTTCAGCCGATAGTCCGGCTCGCAGCACGACGAGTATGAGCCACAAGCATCATCCATGTCAAGTGCTGAGACCGGCGCTTGTGTGCGGCAAGGCGGGTGCAGGTCGCATTGCTAGGTGCGGCAGATTCTTCTGGTTCATATCGTTTTGCGTTTTGATTGGCTGAATTACATCCAATGAAATGGCGTCCGTTTCCGAGGGGAGATTCATACCAGTCCACGCAATCATGAGCGACCGCAAGGGACTCTATCGGCTGCGGCGGCTCTCGGAGCTCCTCGATCACTCTGATGAAGAGGACGACGACTCGTCGATGGATGTCGATGTGCATGTGCCTGCCTCCCAAGTGGTCGGCACGACGGACGTGAACGCCGTCGTGGACAACGAAGAGGAGCTGGACGCGTCGGTATGCGTGGAATGCCGACACCAAGCCGCCGAAGTGTTTTGCGAACAATGCCACGACCATTTCTGTCGCTTGTGCTACGGGGGTCAGCACCGCAAGGGGAATCGCAAGACCCACACGTTCCAGCCCATCCTTCATTCCGCCATCCCCTCCGCCGACAAGGTCGAGGAACATACACCACCCTCCTGTCACGCATGTGGACTGACATTGTCACTGGTAGGACAATGCTGTGGTGGCCGCTGCTCCTTCCTTGCATGAATCGTCTCGGCTTACCGAAGGTGATGATTCCAGCAGTAATGACGAAGCGCACGACGACTCGTCCACGGTGGCAACGCCGTCGTCGCGTTATTTTCGCGGGACCGCGTCAAGGAAAAGCATTTGTAATTTGATGGGATCGTTGTTCCTAGGCAGTAAGTCAACTTCGACGACAACGACCTCCTCGACGGACGCCCCGTCGTCGTCGTCGTCATCTTCGTCCATGCGGGACCGCGCCAAGTACATCCCGCTGCGGTTGACGTACGAAGAACGAAAGCGTCTGCGCACGCTCGAAGCCGCGCTCAACGTGTGTCACTACACCGACAAGGTCGACGCCGCCATGAACGCGCCGGCCAAGCGGACGCGCATGCAGCTCCAAGAGATCGCCGGGTTTCTCTCTGGGCTGGTCGTGTCCATAGACTACACAGCGGGGCAGACGCTTCTGGACGAGAAGCAGTTTGATCCGCTCGCGGGGTTCTTTGGCGAACTGTTTGAACTCGGCCGGCGGTACAAGATCATGAACCCTGAAAAAATGCGCGGCGAGTACGGCATCCTCATGTACCTGCTCCAGGACGCCGTGTCGCCCGCCATCCAGGACCTGCTCGGGTTCAGTCCGATCCAGCCGCTCAAGACCGTGTACGCGCTGCTCGAGGCGCACGACTCGCTGGGGCTTCTTGACCATCCGTTGATCGATGTGGCGACGATGGTCGTAGCCCCAGACAACCGCAACAAGTCGCGCGCCAAGATTCAGCAGCAGATCAAAGCCAAGGACCAGGCGATCCGCACCATCACCCACCGCTTTGTCACGGCTACGCTGCGCGCGGACGACATCCAACAGTGCCTGTACTCGATAGCCGACAACAACTACCACTTGTACTTTGAGCGGGACCCGATTGACCGCATGATTGCGCTGCTACGAACGCACTTTAGCCCTGACATAACCAACGACGACTCGTTGTATTCGTTGGCGATCGTGTCGGGCAGCGACGGCGCCCGCCTGTCGCATACGCATACGCGGCAGTACCATTACGTCCTCCAGTCGCTCACGTTGTGGCGCGAAATCGCGCACGACATGTTTCGCCTCTGGTGCCTCACGGACGAAGACCTGCTCAGCGGGTCGGTGGGGTACCAGCTCACCGACACGGGGCAGGGGCTGCACCGCATCCAGCCGTCGCCCCTCATCTCCCGCGCGATGCACGTGCTGCTGCATTCGACCCAGGCCAAGCTCGACCACTGGGTCGGCAGCTCCGTCATCCATTTAGGCGACAAGAACGTCCCGAACGCGCTCATGTTTATAGACAAGTACGCCCAAGTCGGGCACATTCTCCGCCCCATTGTCCGCACGTTGGACGAGATCGACAAGCTCGTGGACACGTCGGCCGAGTTGCGCAGCTACGTCCAGACGTCGTTTGGCGGCCCCGAGACCCTCAAGAAGGACATCCTCGTCGATTTCTTCCGGGAAGCGTTCGACGGAAGCGGCGCCGACAACTTTTTCGACGCGGGGTCGTGCATCGATGGCCGGCTCACGAGCGCATGGAACTGGTGCTCCCGCCTGCACGCGAAGCCGTTCTTTCCCATATTTAAACTCGCTGGGTTTGTTGGATTTGACGGCAAGTTTGGGTAATCGTACGAGCGGATTGTGTGTATTCGAAACTGGATAAGCGACAGCAGAATGGTGTAGCCAATCAGATTGCAGGAAACCATCATCAACATCGAATTAGTGTGAGACTTCAATTAGTGTGGAACCAAGCACCTTACTTCACAGTATAAAGAATCGATTTGGCGATTCTCCATCTAAAATGTATTAGTGTTATGAAATTCGAATTAGTGTGAGACTTCAATTAGTGTGGAACCAAGCAACCTTTTACAAACAAACTTTATACTTCGAAGTAGTATAAAGAATCGATCGATCGATTTGGCGATTCTCTATCTAAAATGTATTAGTATTAGGAATCGTAGATGGAATGAAAACCTTCTTATGTCAGCCAAGGAGAGGCGGGGGGGTACTGAACATGGGCATCAAGTACGAACACGGCTACGCTTTGAGGTTGGTGGCGCGTACAAACGCTTGGACGCCGTCGATGTGCGCGCAAAGATCGTCCACGGCGTCGGCGTCAGGGGCGAGTCTTGATTTCCAAATCTGGCGGTCAAACGTCTGCAGCACGTCCGACGTCACGGGCGCGGCGTCGCGGTGGTAGAGCCGCAGGTCGTCCGCCATGGCGATGCATGCAGACATGGCGTCTTCCACAAACCGCTACATACCATCACATGAACAGTCAAATCATTTCGTTCGACAAAACGTTAAGAGTCGCGGGGTTCAGTACAGCAAAGGCACTATGGTGTACAGTATATGGGTCGTACGAGGTACGCGACGTCCTTTTCCACGTCGTTTTGGTGTTTCCACTGGGGAAACGTCGCTTGGAGCACCTGTGTGACAACGTTAACCACGCCGGAGTAATCCAAAATAGTTGTTGAATCACAACACACAGTCGTACATCCCACATCAAGTGCAACTTTTCAGTGGTTGGCCACGCTAGAAGCGCCTTCTTGGCATCGTACGCCTTGGTGTCGTTTTCTCGAAGCAAGTCGATGGCCACGGGGAGACATAGATGGATCACTCGACTGCGGTACCTGGGAATGTCGAAATGTCAAGACCGACAATGATAAGGGGGGGGGAGGGGGGGATGTAACCGGTCGGCCAACGTGTTGGCGATCTTGAGGTACTTGTTTAGGAATGGATGGGAACTGCGGACGTCGCCGACGACTTTGACCAACAGTGCTTCGTGATGTGAGAAAAGTATAGGAGGACGTAACTAACTAGGTAGCAAGCACTAGAGTACCGGTTTCAGTGGTGTCAAACATCTACAGCATAAACCACAACAGGTACATAGTCGTGAGAAAGCGGCGAAGTAGCCGACCCGTTGGGAGTACGTACCCACATAGGCCACATCCGCCTCAAGCTGCGCACAATGCGATGCACCTGAAAGTATCAGGGGGTTGTGAGTCATCATCGAACATCAATCGTCTAGGGGCGATGGAATATGTACTCAAGTCGAGTTTTGAATGATGAGTAACTTGGAGACGACAACATCCTCACTCACCTTGGCTTCGTCTTCGTAGTCAAACCCGAGCACGTCGTGAACCAAGACGACGTCGTCCATGAGCAATTGGATGGCTGGGTGGGTGCATACTTGATGTGCGAATTCCCCTGCCAAACGTCCGCATGAGTAGTACTTTGGAGTAGGACTCGGGCACCTCGAAAGTTGGGCACGTTTTCTTTCAATCCGTTGTCCAGCCAGTACCCAATGATCTCCACGTGGCCCAAACGCACGGCGACATGCAGCAGCGTATCGCCGAGCACGATCTTGCCTACACACACAACCAGCATCAAACGATCAACTAACTACCATAACTACTTGTCCTAATGTTGGCTGTAGGAATTAGACTGTACCTTCCTCGACGGCTGCAAAGAAATCCATCTTTTCGTTCAGGTGTTTGTCGAGCTTTGCTGCCTTGGTTCTCGAGTCAGCTATCGCATCGATTCGCCCTGTCAAGCCATGCTTGTCATTGGAGTGAATCCTTGGACTTTCCAATAGAAGTACCTTCAGTACGATTGCATAGTTCTAGATAGCTCGCGCGAGAAATCTACGACGACGTTAGGACAATACAGGAGTTCCTGACAAGGTTTACTTGGAAGCCAACGGCTTGATCGAACGTTTCCTTTTGAAGTTTGTCAAGGTTGTTGTAGTACGTGTACTTGACCTAAAGGGGCGACACCACGTCGAACATCACAACTAGGATGGACATCAACTTGTGGGTTATTATGGCAGGAGGACCATTTTTCTGAATTGAATGATATCGGTCGCATCGGCGCTCACGTTTTGGCCCATCGCCACAAAAAAGAAATTGCAAAATCGGTTACGCGCGATGAGTGGCAGTTACGTTTGTAACGGATAGCCGTCTCGTCCATGGCGATAGCACCAGAATTCGCGGCCGACTTCGAGTCGATTCCAGACGCACTCGTGGACGTATGTTTGGCCGATGACGTGCACCTGGTGGACACGTTTCTTCATGAAGGGGGGTTGCAGCATATCGATGGCTATGGCAAACACGAGCGCACTGCGTTGATGTTGTCGGCGGCATGGAATGCGAGCCTGGCCGTGGGTCTTCTATTGCGGTGGGTTTCCTAATTCATACTTCAAAGTATGCAAAAAAGCTTGGTCCTGTCCATTACTATGTCTCATCGACTAGCGGTATTGTTTGACTCGAAGGCGAGGCGCCAACGTGCACTTGAAAGACCCCGACGGCAACACGGTATGTGATGCTTCGTCCATATTCTCCATCGTCAACATTCTCATCCTTGAGTTTCGACTACTTGGTACGGTAGGCGCTCCATCTCGCCGCCGAGAACAACGCAAAGCAATGCGTCCAAGCGCTCGTCCACGGTGGCGCGCTCCTCGATGACCAGAACGCTTGGGGCTTCACGGCGCTGCATCTTGCCGCCGCCGCCGGACACATGGCATGCACCAAGGAATTGCTGGTGGCGGGGGCGCGCATGGACCTCGCGACGGCGGACGACGGGGACACGGCGCTGGACTTGGCACTGAGGGAGGGAAAACAGCCCGTGGTGCTGCTGCTTCGGGGGTGGGACCCCCAGTGGTCGTCTCGATTGTGTCTCCATCGCCAGCAACCGGCCATGCAAACGTGGACGGAAGCGCAAGTCGCCGACTTTCTACGGTCCCACGCCATGTCTCAATACGTTCCCGTGTTTTTACTCCACAACATTGATGGATTGGCGTTGTCAGGTACCCGGTATGCGTTTTCCACATGTCGTTGCTAAATGTGACCTCGAACAGAGTTGACGGAGGCCCGGTTGGAGAACGAGCTGAACATGGATCGACCGAAACATCGAGTGCGCCTTCTTGAAGCGGTCCTGTTCACCCAACTCCACGCCTCCTCTACCTCCCACCCCCCTTCGTCCTCGGGGGTCGCCGACAACGATGCGGATACAGCCATCAAATCGAAAACGACGATGGAGTCGCTGCCCCCTGTAAGCCCCCCGCGCCGCCCGAGGCCTCAGTCGCCCTCGCCCTACTTGGCCCCACCATGGCTCGAATGATGCTAGCAATGTGAGTCCCTCGCGCCGCCCGAGGCCTCAGTCGCCCACGCCCTACTTGGCCCCACCACCATGGCTCGCATGATGCTAGCAATCGTCGAGTCCTTGATACAAAAGTAGTACTGGCAATCAAAAGTAACTGTGCATACTAGTACTTCTAGGCGTACTTGAGTGACTTTGCTGTTGCAATGGTGACGAATGTGCGCTTACATGTGCAGAGAACATGATAAGTTATAATTGCGTTTCACCGCCGAGACGTTGGTCATAGGAATACGAAATTAAACAGATTTGTTAGTTAGCTTATTAGGGGGATTCCGCGCCGGCAAACACGTCGGCGAATTGATCTTCGGGGTGGACGTTCACTTGGTTGCGGCTCGCGCGGGTATCTTCGGCCAGTTTCCGGGTCACGTACTTGTCGCGCTTGTCGTACTTGGCGGTCTTGCGGGTCTCGTTGGGGGCCACGTAGTTGGGGTTCTGGTACAGAGTCACGCCGCCAAAGCTGCCGTCAAAGATGCGGATAGGGGTCATGACGAAGCGCGGGCCGATCTCGATGAGGTTGGTCAGCTCCTCGCCGCGATGCAGCGCCGCCTGCTCCAGCTTCTTGGTGTCGGCTTCGTCGGCGAGCTGGAAGTTGCGGCACCAGATCTTGCCATCGGCAAAGTAGAAGCTCATGACGCGGTCGATAAACGGCTTGCTCTTTGGGTGGCCCTTGGGCGTGCCCCACACTTGGATGAACAGCGCCTTGATCAACTGCATGTGCGCGGTCTCGTCGAAGGCGGCGTCAAACGTGAGCAGCGGGCGGGACCCCATGAGCGCGTTGCCTGTCATCTTGAGCTCGTCCATGGTGTGCACTAGAAGGTTCGATTATCAGGATGGAAGGATCGACTTAAGAAGGCAGGTAGAGAAGTACTATGTACCGTTTTGGACGAGGAACTTGGCCGACGGACCGGTGGGAGTGCGGGACACCCACATGTACAAGTCTTGCTTCTTGCGCGCCTAATGATAGTTGAGAATACTGAGGAATGGTCAGGAGAATGGACGCTCCTTACCTCAAGGAACACGGTGTTGTTGCAACCCTTGATCTCGGCGATCTCGTTCACGACATGCAGAGTGTCCTTGGCGTCGAGCTATACAATGCAAGATGAGAATGATAAGTAAGATAGCAACACACGGGTCATCGTACCTTGACATCCTTCTTGTGATGCGGAAGCAGTTTGCGAAGGTCGTCAAGAAAATGGCGGTACCGGGTGGTGATTCCTCGGGATGCAAAGACCAACACGCGCTGCTTGTTGACGTAGCCTGATTGCTTGGGCGTGAGGTCCACAGGGGTCAGCACATCTTGGAGCTCCTTCTTCTTGATCGCGGCATTTTCAATCGCGGACACTTTACGCTTCGGGGCCATGATGATTCGATTTAAACCAACCTTCGGTGAAAATGCTGCCAATTCCACCGCCAACCAATACTCGCTTCAATCAGATCAGCCAATCAATTGCAGTCATGGTTATCCGGATGAGTGGCACTACTAATCAACGAGTAATACTACGTAGTAACTATTAATCGAGCATCTCCCCAGTTGACAGTAACTAGTACTCCACGATTAATACTAATATTGATAGTATGAGACATAGTTATAGTACTACATGTTGGACTATACTATTCATAGTGGTAATATTAATACGTAGTACTATTAATAGTATGTACTCCGTACTAACGTTAGTCGTATTACTGCTTCTGCAACTATTAATACTAAAAAGTACCGTAGAAGTCGCACCACAAAGCATACTAAAATCAAGTGAATCCACCCATACCAAGAAGAAAAATCACCGAAGCGTCGGGATCTACCAGTAACGTCAGTAGAGTTCAAGGAGGCAAGTTCAGTTCAAGTTGAATTCTTTCTATATGCGTCATGGGAGAAGTGCCAATATCTTTGCCGTTTTAAGCCGCCCGTAATTATGTGCAGCTCCTCCTTCCTGCCTTACTGTAGGCTCCACAAAAAAATTCGAATGCTGGTAATATCATACCCAGGCCAAAAGGTCAAGTGGTGTCGTTTGCCTTTGGACGTATCCGATTGGTGGCGACGGATCTCAAAATCGCAACCTCTCGATTGTATGGCATTGTTTGTAGCCAATGGTATCGTGTGTATAAATACATCTGCGTTTTGATTGGGCATTATCCCTGACAGTTGCGATTCCACGGTTGAGATTGGATGCTGCCAAACCGAATGATGCTGTAACGTTACCCTAGATACAGGATTACATCGTTCGTGGCATTTCCGTTCCCGTCACTGGATGAGCGACTGCGGAGCAACGGCCGCCCGGAGATAACCACACAGCAACAACTACTGCGTTGTCATGAAGGGAACAGTCTCCCTCGATGCACAGCTTCGGGCCATCATGGGCCCCCAGATCACCGAAGAAGAGCTGCTCAAGAAGGTAAAGATGAGACTATCATGCTCCTGGTGTGCTGACGGTGGAGGGTCACGTCTGTTAGTTCACATTTGAGGGGGTGATTGGCAACGGCGCAACAGCCACGGTGTACGCGGCCCTCGATCACTCGTCGGGTGAACGCGTGGCCATCAAGGTGTTCGACAAAGCGCAGATGATCGAAGTCCGCAAGTCCATCCTCGGCGACAACGTCGAGGTCAAGGACACAGCCGTGTCCCGCGTCCAGCGCCGGCTCAAGAAGATCATATCGGAGCTGAGCATCGCCAAAGCCTTGGATCACGCCAACATCATTCGGTACATCGGGGCGATCGAGACGTCGCATCGAATATGCATCGTCCACGAGTTGATCGACGGGCACGACATGCTGGAATACGTGTTGGCGTTCCACAAGATGGACGAACCCCTTGCAGCCCACTGCTTCGACCAGCTTCTCCGTGCTATCCACGCGTGCCACGACCTCAACGTCTGGCACCGCGACGTCAAACTCGAAAAGTAAGTCCTTCGAATCCTTCGCTTGAATCGCCCATTGGGGTCCTTATACTAACTACTGTACATGGGTAGTGTCCTCCTCACCCACGACTTTCAAGTGAAACTCATCGACTTTGGCTTGTCGGAGCGCACGGCCGATGCGTTGCACTCGGTGTGCGGGACCCCGCTCTACTGCAGCCCGGAACTGCTGTTTCTGCCGACCAACTTTCGCGACGAAGGCGTCGCGGGCGCCCCCGCCGACGTGTGGAGCACCGGCATCCTCCTCTTTGCGGTGCTGACCGGCTGCTCCCCGTTCGACGACAGCTCGTTCTCGTCGCTGCGCCAAGAAGTGTACCGCAACTCGATCAAGTTCCCAAGTCACCTCTCCGAGCTGGTGCAGGACCTGCTAGCGTCGATCCTGACGTCGGACCCGGCCGCAAGACCCACGATCCCGACGCTCTTGAGCCATCCGTGGCTTGTCAAGAACGTGGCGCTGTATCGGTCGACCATCCGACTCGTGCGCATGAAGTCGCTGTCCCGAGGGTCGTTTCACTCGGAGACGGAAGACAGCAGCGACGCCGCGAGCAGCTTGGACGACGCCGGGGCGTCCTACCGAGACTTGCTGTACGATCAACTGGCCGAACAAGAAGAGCAATCCCCACCTACTCGATGATGTATAATACCGTCTACTATCGTGGACCAGATTGCACCACAAGGTTAATTTATTCTTCTTCGACATTATGGTATGGGGTTGCCAGATGTTGGGATGGCACAGGAGTTTTTCAACGGTCCATAGGATTTGTAAAGATAACGTTTATACCGGTAACTATTAATAACCTACTTGGAGTATAATATGTACTACGTATTAATAGTACTACGTAGTATGTATTAATAGTACTGTACTACGTATTATAATACTACGTATTAATAGTATTACTACGTAGTATTAATAGTAAGCTAACGTTAGTTCAATTCGACGGTACGAATATGGAAGACAGAAAACTCTTGTGCTAGTAGGATCCCACGGGAGGGTTTGAGGCTGTACAGTACTCGAGTAGTTCACTCCAAAATCGAAATTCTGCGGAACGTAAAATGTCCGGATAACGTTCGTGCCAAAATAGTAACCGCAGAAACACTTACAGTTCAACCTATACTTCTTGTACAGCAGTACTATTGTACGTAGTAGTACTAGTTAGGTTTGAATTTACCGTTGGAGGTGCTCTGATAAAGTTGAAACATGGACTTTGTGTCAGATTTTACAGTTAAGCTTAATGTCTGTTAAAGATATCCTTTTTGGTTGTTGGGCCAAACTGTGATGATCGATGATTGGTTCAAAATTACACAATAGTGTACTTTGATTGGCTAGATGATTCTAAAACACATTTGCATTGCTTTTCATACTGTAAAGCTCGTAGAACTGATATTATTAATAATTAAGTAGTGTATTAATATTAATAGTACTACGTAGTACGTGTAGTACAGCATGTACGGAGTACCTGGGAACTTGAGATTTGTTGAACAATCAAATAAACTTCAAGTGATATATATTAGTATTACATGCTGACCCAAACTTCATTTTGCCTTGGTAGTATTTCTTGTTCGATAGTACGGCGCTACCACCTGCACATCCACTGACACCTCATGTGTCGTCCATCAGTTCGCTAGGTGAAGTCGATTCTGTCGTGAAGTTTGGACTGTAGAGTGGTGTCGATGGCTGGTGTGCACGGGGGCGGTGGTGGGGGCACGTGCAAGCTAGCTTGCTTCACCAAGACCCGTGCCCGTTCTGCAGCGTCACTCGCCTTTCGTTCGCACTCTTGGCGCCTTCGTGTGGCTTCATCTCGTTCGGCTTGTACGGCACTCAGTTGACTTTGAAACTTCTGGCCACGCAACACCTCTTCCTTCTCCAACACGGCGTCCATCCCTCGCTTGGAAGTACTTCTCAGCTCTTTGGCGGCTTGCAACGCCTGTTCCCTCAAGGAGGTAGCCCTCTGCGCTGCTGCGGCTGCCCGTCGCTCGCTTTCCTCACGTCGACTCGTCGCCTCGTCTTTCACCGCCTGCACCGCTTGCAGTTCCTTAGCGTAGTGCTGCTCCCGCACCTTGTCTTCGCTCTCGAGCACGGCCGCCATGCCCACCTTGGCCGTGTCCCGCATGTGTTTGGCCGCGTCCAGCGCCAACTGCCGCAACGCTTGGGCCCGCTCCTTGGCCTCGATCGCGCGGCGCTCGCTTTCCAGCCGCCTCGCCGTCGCGGCCTCCTGGCGCTGCTTCATCGCTTCAAGCTGGAGCTCGAGCTCCCGCTGGCCCTCGAGTTCCGTCAGGTTTGTCAGCTTCTCCTGTCGTTCGCGTTCCTTCGCCTCGTAGTCTTCGATTGCTTTTCGCGCGGCTTGCTTGGCCGCGTGGGCCTTGGATTTCAGATCCAACACGCTTTGAATTGCGACGGTCTTGGACTGTCGCGCCGCTGTCGCCGATGCGGCAAAATCCTCGCGCTGCGCAGCTTCCGCCGCTTGACGACTCGTCTCGTCGAGCTCCATCTGCGCTTCAATGCGCTGGCGCTCTGTAAACTCCAAAAGGGACGCCGCACACACTGCCTCGACGACCTTTTCGTAGTGGACGAGTTCAGCATCGCGCTTTCTCTGCCGTTTTGCCTCGAGAGCGGCCCGGAAGGAAGCGAGTGCGGCTTCTTCCTCGGATTTCAATACCGCCTCGCGCGCGGCCGCCTCTCGCTCAATGTCGGCGGCCATCAATGCCGATCGGGCGGCGTGAAGCTTCTCAGCGCTGGAGTTGGTTTTCTCCTCCTCATCGCACACTACCGCCATGTCTTTCGCCCTGGTGCTATAGAGATGCTTGTCTTGTACGTCGCTCTCCAGCGCTAGCGGGATGCCTTGAGGAATGTCGTCGTCGTTGGTCAGTACGGGCGACGACATTTGGGTAGATCACAATACAGTATGGTCCAGCGTACTGTCAAGCTTTTACTACAGTAGCATTTCTCAATTTCTTTGATACAAAAAGCAAAAGGTGATAAATATTGACAGTGAACAAATTTACAAAATAGTATGTAAAAAAGAAAAAAAACAATTGTTCGATTTGAAATAATCCACATTTTCTGCTTGAAAACTCTGTAGCATAGAGCCTTTTCAACTGCAACTGCTGTCGGCGTACGCCTTTCTCTTACGAACCGACTGCTCTCCGATCGAGCCGCAACATAGTAGGCCCCAACATTTGTTATTACCCTGTGAAGTCATTTCAGCGTATCGGTAAGTACAAGTACGACATAACAGTGCGACGCTCTGTGATGTCACGAATACATTGTTGAAATCGATATTAATACTAAGGTTATATATAGATTTACTGTTCCGTTAAACTGGCCTACATACTGTACCAGGCAGGTATTATTGTGATTCCTCTGAATTTTTACTTTTGGGACGACGCCAACAAATCAATGCCTCGTTTTGATTCATCATAAAAAATGTATCTAAATTTAGCTAACAGTATATCCCAACGAGAATACGGCAGCATGCGTACTATGCCGACCGTTTTTAACTCCGCCAAGGTAAAAATACAGTCTAAGGTTCTCTTAGGTTGAAGTCTATGAACAGAGATGAGACACGAGGTAGCACAACTGTTTCATGTTTGTGCTCGGGGTAATGGGGGGACGCGCATGTGGTTGCTCTCTATGGTAGTGTATATATCGTCCACAGTGCTTCGCTTGGATTGGGTTCGCATTGAACCTCTCTTTATATATAAATGATGCCATTACAGAGGTTTCTGTTTATTGAAGGACCGACTACTGTAGAAGCGTGCTGCTGGATCCATTGAACAAATCGCGCATGGAAATTTCGTGTACAGTAGAATTTCGAGTAACGTTAGGGCCCACAATACATAAATCAAGTACTATTGATAGTACTTTTACAGTAAATAATACTAGTACTCACAGTCAGTATACAGTCAAGTGGACTGTAAAATTTAATCAACGAGTGGTAAAAGGTAAATTACTCGGTAAAGCGGTGCTACAGTAAGGTGGTAAAAGGTAAAAGTTAACCAGACTCAGGGAAAGGTGTAGGAAGGTTAAAAGTATTAATAAAAGTAAAATTATTTTCAACCCCGTTGAACTTTTACCTTACTACCGTTCGCTCAACTACGCGGCACTTCAAGACTTGTGCTAGTCACGGTGTAGCAAGTACAGATCGTCGAAGTGGTTGGGAATGCCCTTGGTATACAAATACATAAATTAATTGTTCACATTGGATGTACCATCCAGCTGCATGAATTGAATCATCAAGCGTTGCACAACACACCAACCCGCTTTAACACGAACAGAAGCGCTTCCAGTGCGAAATATACAGTACAACAGCACATGTCTGGAACGCATACATAACCGGGCATATATTACCAGTAGGACTAGCGAACGATGAAAGAACAACCTCACAGCTTCTTTCTGTAAAGTGAAACCAATCCGGATGTATATCCGGAGCATACGGTTGCAGGCTGTAACGACTCTTCCGCCAGCAACAACGTATTGCTCATTGAAAGAACACGATGAAATACTAAGGTTTTGGTTGCCTACTCCACGAGTCACCGTCAAGCGATAACGAGAGACTTGCCAGTTTGTTGTGCGCAGCATCGAGGGCCTTCTCGCGCAGGTGGATGGCATGTTCTAACTTCTCCTTTGCAACCATCTCCTTCTCGTGGCGTACCCTGGACGCAATTTCCCTGTCCTTGTCCAGAGCCTCCATTTGCCGGCGGTAATCTTCCGATCGCACCACCTCTTCCTGCTGCAAGACTTTCTCGATGGCCTGACGGGACGTCTGCCGCACCAGCTTGGCCGCGACCAGCGCCTTCTGCCGCAGTTCCTTGGCGCGGGACATGGCTTCCTCTGCTCGGCGCTCCGCCTCCACCCGTTTCACCACGGCCTCATCTTGGCGCTTTCGGACCGCAGCCAGTTGTTCGATGTGCACACGGACTGACTCGTCTTCTTCCTGTTGCCAAAGCAGTTCTCGTCGCAGCCGTTCCTTCGCCTGGTACTCTTCGATAGCCAAGCGCGCGCTCTCCTTGGCAGCATGTGCGCGTTTCTTCGTGTCCAACACCATCTGCACCTTGTTGAACTTGTCCGCATGGGCCAATGCCTTTTGCCTCTCCATGTTCCGCAACGCCTTATCCGATTCAAACTGCCGGAACAAATCTTCCTCGCCGGCGTGATTCTCGATCTGTCCGCGCGCATTGAACTCCATCAACGATGCCTGCAGCACAGCTTGCATGACCTTTTCGTCGTGGAGCGCGTCGTCTTCCTGGCGAATGCGCCGCTTTTCCTCGAGCGCCGCTCGGAACTTTGCCATGGCAGCCAATTCCTCTTGTTGCCACCGCTCTTCATCGACGGCAGCCGCGGCTTCAATACGTTCGCGCTCTTCTTGTTCTGCCCTGGAAATCGCGTGAATGGCCTCCATTTCACGCTCATGGGCCAGTTCAATGGCTGCGCGACGTTCGCGGCGCTTCTCCTCCATGGACAAGCGCTCAATCTCGGAAGGATCCAAAGTGTCATATTCGAAGTCGTGTATGGAGATGACACTGCTAGATGCTGCTGGGCTTGTTGACGGTAATATAGTTGTCGCCATGGTTGGGGGTTACTCCGCAATCTCTTCCTCCGATGTCAAACTCACCGCGGCAAAGGCGATACAAACTGGCGCTCTTCTCCAACCTGATTGGTGGGTCAAATCCGGACAATACTCATGTTTCCGGATACACTCCAATGGCGAGCCCCGTTTATGTTTGTAAATCAACACACCACATGTCACAGCTGTTTTGATCAAGGTCTGAAAACCTTTGTTCTGCGTATCGTACTAAGCTACTAGTACACACAACATGTATTAATACCAAGACTTACAGTTAATAGCTATCCAAGGGTCTTCTCGTCCACAATAACTACGTACCCCTGCGGTGACAGCGGAAAATAGGTATCCGTTTGACTTGGCATTTGTATGTCGATTTCAGTAGTACTACTGTACATTGTACTCCTGAAGTAAGTACTACTAGTATGAATATAGTACTCGAATTACCACGGTAACTAGTATGAATACTGTACTCGAATTACCACGGTAACTCCTGAAGAACTATTTATCACTCCGTATATTCTGACACGAAACACTGACACGAGCTTTTTCGTCGAAGAAGCTCGTTATTGGGGCGATTTGTCAATTCGATCCGTGTTCGCGTCCTTGAGAAAAATGACACAGGACACGACCAGGAAACTATGGGAAACATTCAATAAATCTGGATACCGTTCAGCCAAGACTGACTATGGGAAACGTTCAATAAATCTGGATACCGTTCAGCCAAGACTGAAAACCGCTCAAGCAAATTTTCTTCCCGTAACCCTGTAACCCCGGGACTTCGTCCTACCCCCGCGTGCACATACTTCGAAGTATAATGCTAAATCCCCAGGGTTAAGTTGAGGTGGTCAGAGTACAAAAAATATGCCGTATTTCAGGGTTTGTCCACGGACACGGATTAACAGTAAATTTAGACGATTTTGCAGTATGGGGCATGTCATCTATAAACTACCAACTTCTCATAAAATTTTCTGACTTCTATTTCATAGAATTCATTACTCAAAATTAATTTCAGCAAATTGAGACGTAGAATCGACAGATCTCAATGTGGTGAAGAAATTCTACGTCTCAGATTCAAATTTGGTGATGAATTGGTCCAGAAATGGATATTTAACCTAACGTTAGCGGTATTTTACATCGGCGATTGGATATTTGGCCGCTGAGATGTTTCTTGATTTTTGTATGTGACTCTTATCCGTATATAATATCCGGAGGCAGGTGGGACCTTTAACCTCCCACTGCCGTGATAAAACGCAAGCAATCGGTATTTAACGTATTTAGATTTTAGGTTTATATTGTTAACTGCAGACATTAATTGTACGTTAAATAATAAAACCTCCATTCTTCGATTTGGCCTGTGGGAAGTTTTTAGATGACATGCACCATAACGTTATACTCAAGTAAATAGATTTCCGCGTCCGGAATAAACATAACGAAGCAGCTACTTCGCAATACAGCTGTAATACTGCATGTGGAAGAACTTGTCATGGTTGTCAAGCGTTCTCGCTTCGCGAAGCCTGCCCGTTGTCGCAGACTTCTGCTCGTACTCATACCGTCGGTCGACACCATACAAATACTAGTACACAAACTCCTGGACCTTTTCGTGGTTGTCGAGTATCAGGTGGAACCTGTGCGACGTTTTCTTGCCGTCAACTTCGAGTTCCTGGCAAGAGAAGCCAGGAACTTTAAGCAAGTCGCACGCGAGCACCCGCCAAGACTTCAAGACTAAATGTTCGCGGGCGCTCTTGGTTGGCCTGTATCAACAGCGTCAAGTCATCCTCGCTTATCCACCTGCTCATACCAAGAAACCACCTAGTGGAACCCGTTCGGATAACCTCTCCTGGTATTTCCTCTGATTATCCGATTGAGCTATAAAGTTTCATGAGTTTCCGTGATTGTACTAAATTCTGAGGGTGATTTTTACGGACACGGATTACTTTGCGAAATCTCCCTATTTACGTTAGGCCCCGTCTGGATACCACTTTTATTGAGAAATATCGCGATAATTTTGCAAAATATTCAAGAATCTCAGCGACTTCAATTTGGCGTGTCTGGATGCCATTTCTGGACCAAGTTATATTCCATAAATTTATCAGAAATATCGTGAAAACCACAAGAAATATTATTCTACTCATGAGTAGAATATTTTGACGATATTGACAGTGCGCGTTGAATTGTGGGGCATTTCGGAATGAGAAAGGCCATCGTGATTGCCTTCCGATGGCTCATCCGCCGCCGCCTGGCCAAGGAACTCTTCGCCAGAGAGATGGAGTACCACTACCTCGACTTCGTCCACAAGACACCAAGGAGGACGTTTATCCTCAGTGGTCCTCTCTGGGTGGACAAAGTCCTCTGCGGCTCTGCGCTATCCTCTGATTGGCTGTTCATTTCCAAACTTTCTTTTATTCTATGGCATCCAGACAACACCCAAAATCATTCTTGGATCTTGAAACCCAAGAATTTCCTGCAATGTCGAAAAATGTTTTTTATTCAATATTCCAATATCCCATAATATTGGTGGGTGGCATCCAGACGGGCGGGCATTCGGATGTTCGGTAAATCGTGGACGTCGGTAAATAGAGTAAAAACTCGAATTAGTGTGGACAGCATATTACTTTGTTTTGGATTTCTTAGCGAGGGCATACGGTGGGTTGATGGGTTTCTGGAGCGGCTCTTGGTGCGCGTACGTGTTGTTGTCGTCAATGGGGTACGACTGGTCAGCGTCCCAGCCATCGACGTCCCCGCACGATTTGAAGAGGACGGGGGTCGACCCTGCGAGGCGGGCATGGTCGTGTTCGTACGGGAGATCGAACAAGTTTAGGGCCATGGAGGTGGGGGGGCCGTGGGAGAAATGCAGGCCTTGGCACACGACGAAGCTCTCGAAGCTCGAGTTGCGACTTGCTTTGGGCTTGGCGCACACAACGTGGCGAAAGTATCGACCGAGGTGGGCGTACAGCCGCGACACTTCTTTGCCTCGAAACAGCTTGGCCACGAACGTCCCGCCCTCCTCGAGGATGTGTAAGCTGATGTTCAGCGCAGCCAGCACCAACTGCGCTTGAAGGTACTCGTCCAAGTCGTGCAACCCCAAGACGTCGGGCGCGCCGTCGCTCACAACCAGGTGCGCCTTGCCACCGTGGAAGTGACCGATGATGGCGTCGGCCGTGGATTGCGCTGTGATGTCTCCTTGGATCTGAATCGCGTGGTCTAGTGGCGCCATCTCCATGAGGTCGACCGCGACAATCTGGACGTCGGGGTTCTCCCTGAAGCAACCCCATTAGACAAGTGATGGGCAATTAACGTACGCAGGATGCAATCGTTCGGCAATCACTTGAGTCCATCCACCAGGAGCGGCACACAGATCAACCACGCGCGTGACACCTACGTAGACATACAGCGTCATGTACATGCAGCACACGGCATGTTTGCTGATGTACCGTCCAACAGATGAAACGTTTCATCGAGTTGGATGAGCTTGAATGCTGATCGAGCTCGATAGCCTTGCTCTTTGGCTTTGCGGTAGTATATGTCCTACGCATAGCGTCATGTTATGTCGGCATGATGTATGATCTACTGACCCGCTTGTCCTTGGATGTCTTTCCCATCGCGGCGACCAGCGACAGCAGGAGCCAATTTATTCACGCTCGTCGCAACGATTGGTCATCCAAATACCCTGTCAAGTGCGATTCGTGAAATTGAAGTCCATTAAAGTACGTTTGTATGCAATTTGATTGGTTACTGAATGGTCGCCAAAGATATGCCTTTTTGAAATCGTGCGAGTTTGAATTTCGAAGCCATGAGCCAACGTGGCAACAACAATGGCCGCGAAGGCCTTTCATCGCCACCGTTCACACCACGCACGATGTCGCATGAGGCGCATAGTCGTGTAGCGCAAGTGGAGGAGTATGTGGTGGAGACAGTGGCAGAAGTCGGCGCTACAGCCAAAGCCATCGTACAAGAACTCAAAGTTGACATCGAACACATTGTAGAAGTCAGCACGAGCCCACGTGAGAGTCCAAGCAAGGGAAGCTTCATGGAGAAGATCCAAACTCTCAAAAACTTGAGTCCAACCAAGGCTGACATGGTCAACAGTGTCAACAAAATCAAGAGTATGTGGAGGTATCGCCACTCGACTGTCACGACGGACGGAGGAGAAGGCGGCTTCGACGGCGACGACGGGTACTCTTCGTCCGAAGAAGACGAGGAAGAGTGGAGTGTTGTGCTGGATAAACCCATTGAAACCATCCTTGCCGACTACTCGAATCGAAAGTGGAAAGACGCGCCGGACTACCTCCTTCGTACCCTCCACATCCACACTCTGCGCCAACTGCCCATTCCACATACCCGCAAACTGTACCTCATCCTCACTGGCCCTGGGTACACTTTGTTTATCACTGTAGCCAATTGGGCGCTGGCCTCGAGCATCTTCGTCATGTACGCGGTGCTGGTCGGGTTTGGGTCGGCCGTGTACTGCTCCGCTGTGGTCACGGGGGTACTGCCCCGCCCCGTCTTGCGGTCGTGGAAAGCGCTGTTCAAGCTCGAATGGGAAGCGCTCAAGTTGTTTTTGCGGTTGGAATGGGAGGCCTGCTTGGACTACCGCGTCCGACAGCCGCGTATCGATGAGCTGGTACCCCCCCGCTCCTTTCACGTTCGAAGTTCTTGACTTCTTCGATCGTATCTAGGTCACGAGCCCAGACAAGGAGACCAAGAAGCGAGTCCTCGCGCAAGTTGTCGACACAGTCCTGGACAACATCCGCGCCGATGTGGCGGGTAGCATGCGGTACAAGGACCTGTCGAGCGCCGTATCTCTCGGAAGTGTCGTCGTGTGCGGCACCCTGTACGTGCTGTTTGTCGCGTTCACGTTCATTGGCACGAATATGGACTTTACCCAAATGAACACCAAGAACTTTGACGGGCTGGCCATCATCTTGCCATTTTTGCTCGCGGAGGAGCTGGCAGTATTTCTCGCGCGCGTGACGCTCGTGATCAAGTGGTTTTCGGTCTTTCTGCACGACAACGCGGTGGTGCAGATGCTCGTGGACGACAACGAGCCCCAGGAGAAGGCGTCGTTGTCCGAGTTCATCAACGACGCGCGCACCATGTGCAAGAGCATTGGCGTCGGCGCGTGGGACATGACGGGCATCGCGTCGGCCATGACCGCGGTGTGGACCATCTTCTTTTTGTACCAGAGTTACTACGTCGACCTGAAATCGCAGGGGTTGGAGCCAGGCCCACCAGGCCTCGCGGACACGATGTTTTGGTCCATGGTGCTGTACTCGGTGACGATCATCACGCTGTGTGCTCTGCCGTTCACGAGTTGGTTTGGCGGCGCCGTGGCCGACGACAAGTACACGGCGATGCTCAAAAGTTGCCAGACGTTCATGATGATGAATCGGCTCTCCACGGTTCAGCAAGAGGTATCGCTGGCGCTTCGCAAGGAGATTGCGCGCCAACGCGGCGTTCCCGTCGGCCAGCACGTGAGCTCCGAGGAGAAGCGGGTGCTGCGGAGCTTCCGCGCTGGGATTCTGAAGACTCTCGACAAGGCTGACTTTGTCTCGTTCTTTTTATATACGATTTGCATGGCGTTGGTCGACTTCGAAGCCTCGGATGGCGAGAACGCGTACTACCGCGACACGTCCAACGGCGGCAAGGTTCCGACTAGCATCAAGCGGCTGCGACACCGCGGCACGTACACCCACTGCACCAAGCTGGAAATCCCCATCGATCAGCTCCAGGCCGTGGAAATTGCGCTCTTCAACGCGTCCGCCGCCCGCTACGACGACGTCGACGTCGTGGACGCATCGTCCTCCCCCAGCAAGGAAAAGGCCCAGGGGGCGGTGGTGTCGAGCATGTACGACGTGGTCGTGCTCGATACGACCGTGGGCGCGTCGTTCATTGACAAGCAAGTGTACGACCTCAGTCAAGTGCTGGACAATCCGAGCGTGCGATACCACGCCGTGTACCGTAACCCGTACACCAACCAGTTGGTCCTCGGGCTCGAGATGAAGATGATGGAGCGCCGTGACAAGCTCCGTCAGACCACGACGAACGTGCTCGGCAGCGTCTACCTTCTCGCCGTCACGAACGCGCAAAACCAGTTTGAAATCGGCAACGGCCCCATCTTCCTTCGCGGCGCCGGACTGGAAAAGAAAACGCTCAAGCTCGAAGCCGTCGACTTGCTCTTTGAACGGGTATATTATATTGGCATGGATGATGTTGCAATCGTTGTTAGTTGGGTCGATTGATTCGAGCTGTTGCTGCTGCGGACGGGGGGATGGCGCGGCATGCTGTCGTGCGCGTCTCTGTCGTGGAGCCGAAAACAATATCTGACACACATGTTGTAAACGTGTAGGTCGGCGGTCGCGTGCTTCCCCGATATATCCGCCGCTGTACGTTGGCGATGCACCATGAAGCGACGTTGTTTGCCCAAGCCGACGACTACCTCCGGGGCAACTTGCACGCCGTACCGCCCACGTCTCAGGGATCGTCGACGACTACTTCGCTAAGTCGCAAAGGCTCGACCTCTGGGCCTGAACCGTCGCGCAGCACCGGCAGCGCGTCGCACTTGACAGCGTCCGATTATCGAACGGCCAAGACCACCACGGACGGTGGCGGCGGCGGATCGCAACGCAGGGCCAGTGGGTTAAAGTTGTCCACCCACAGCTGGAAGGAGGGCTCTAGCCGCGAAGCCGCCACCACGACCCCCCCCCCTCCCACCGAGTCCCAACATGTTCAACCTGCTCAACGCGTGGGGACAGACGCGGCCCTTCAACGTGTGCACAGTGTCACTTCGAACCGAGACTTGTCCTCGTGGACGTCCAATCCTTGATCGCGTACGCTGTTGTCCAGTGTTTGTGGATGATACTAGTATGTCCTTGTGTGTATTATAGTGATATGTACTGTACTGTACGTAGTGCAGTATACTAACTATAGGATAGTTTACTACTGTGAGTACTACCGTCAGTCGGCCCGCCGTTTGCGCTTCTTTTTGGAATGCTCCACTAGATGACAGGATATGCGAATGTCATGGCTGTGAGGGTGATGATGCAACGTACCTCGAGGGTTGCCTCGGTCGTAGAAGTCTTTGAGCAATGCGATCGCTTCGTTCTTCATCAAACCGTGCGTGATGGGGTACCCGATGTGATGGTCGTTGCCTGGGAACGCTCTAAATCGATGGAGTTTAACGATGGCCAATATGGTGGAGCTGGCGTACGTGGGGTCGTGAAGGGACAAGATGGACCCGTTCCCGCCAAAACGGTCGTTGTGGCAGCCAAACACCACGCGCTTTACTTGGACAAGGGCCAACGCTGCTGCGCACATGATGCATGGCTCACATGTCACGTATCTACAATGGGCATGATCATCATCATGGAGCTGTATATAGTAGTACATTGCGGTTGCATACAGGGTGCAGTCGCGCAAGGTGGCGGCAGTGTATTGGTCGCCCTCTAGCATAGCATCGATGGCAACAAGTTCGGCATGTTTGGTAGCCTACGAGGACTGACTTAGCTCCATGGAGTATATCCTACGTCAACGTACGTTGAACAATTCGTTCGTCCTGTTGCCTCCGCGGCCAATGATCTCGTTGTCCAAGACAAACACGCATCCGACGGGAACTTCGCCGCGGTCCAGTGCTTTCACTCCCTGTAGTCGAAATGAGCATGCAGCTCTACTATATCGTGATGAGTGTGTACCTACCTCCTCCAGCGCTTGCTTCATGAAGTAAGCGTCTTCGCGCACAGCGGTGTCATTTGCATCCATGGCCAAGTTGTTGCGAAAAAATACCGACCTGTGATTGGTCACTTCGAGTCAATCGCACTTCAGAGGGTCATTTTTGAAATTGCCATCCCGCGCACACAATGAGCGCGGCGTACGTCAGTGAGAAGGCCGTGCTGCATGACGCGATCCTTGAGGCACGCCTGCTGCATCCATCACGCAATCTCATGGACGTAACGTGTTCCTTTTGATGGTAGCAAATGCGCGAGGTCATGATGGGCCTCCACACGCTGAATCAAAACTTGGAACGACTCAACGATGTGGTGCGCCGCCATCGTTCAATCTTTGGCATGACATTACTCAAATCAGCGCTACATGTGTATGCGTAGGGAGGGGAACTGCAGTCGATCGCCCACGCTTGGACGACGTTTTGCAGTAACATCACACGAAGCCCTACCGATGTCGATGTGGGCATCGACGTGGAGCAGCAAGGGAATATGCAGGCAAGTTAACCTAACCAACTACCGTCAACCATTCCCATGTTTCCAACGAGGATCTCCTCGAGTGAATGCATCAAATCTTCGGGCAAACGAACACAAAGGACGCTCGGAATGATGGATCACACTGTATATTAGTCGCTGCTAAAGAAGTTCTGGACGTTGAACTCCAACGTCGGGGCCGACGGAGCGACGGACAAGTCGTCGAACGCGACCTTGTAGTACATCCAGAGCAAGCCAACGTACTGACTCAGCGCCTTGTGCGCGTACACTTGGAGGTGCCGCGGAAAGTACACGGCCGTCGTGTCATCGTCGCCGCCGTGGGATTGCACTTGCTCGGCAATCATTTTCAGCATCGCGTCCAGCTTGCTCGTCACCGACAGATCCAGCATGAGGTCGTCGTTGGAGAGGCTGTCTCGGAAGAGCCGCTCTTGCTTTTGCTTTTGGTTGGACTGGCGGGGGGCGGCGGTGGTGTCCCACACAATCAGCCGCTCGAGCGCGGCATTGTGGTCTTCGGCGACCGCTTGCGCCGACAGTTTCTTAACCGACGGCGGCGGCGCAAAGTACGACGCCAGGCCTTGCAGCACATGGGGCGCTGGTTCGTGCTGCGGCCGGAAGAACGGGCTAGACGCGAGAAGCACGCGGTCCGACACAAGGGGCAGGTCGAGCCGCGACGACAGAAACAGCTTGTGCACGACGAGATGTCCAAACATGCGGCGCACCTGGTTGTCGGCCATGGACTTCACATCAAGCAGACGACAACACAAAGGGAGATGGGAAGAGTCGACGTACCTCTTCGTTCCAGTGCAAGAAGAGGGGAAAGAAATGCTCATGGAGCATGACCCCTGCCAGCAGCTTTTGGCGGCGCTTCGACTCGAACAAGTCTGCAAACACGACGACCAGAGATGAAGATATACAAAAGGATCATGCGATGATCGAGTGCGAGATTGTACTGTACCTGCCGTGGCATACACAAACGCGAGCACTTTGAGCAGAATTTGAAAGTGCGAAGACGTGAGCGCTTGGCGTAATGCCAAGAGGAAGTACTCGAGGTCGAGCTCCATGGGCAACGTCCCGCGGGGAGGCGGCGGCGGCGGGTGGTCGCCCGACGGACGCGGACGGTCATGGGTCGATGCCGCCGCCGTCTCGAACACATTTTGAAGTACGTTGAACGCATAGTCGACACTCTGCGGGTCGTACATGTTTGTGTTTTCCAAGATCACCTGCAAAAACATGTATCCATTGACTGCTGGGAGGTATGGCAACCATCGATTCATTCATTCTATCTCACCACGTCACACACAAGTAAAAACCAAGCTATCCCACGTCTCAGACATATTCACATATGGCGTGATCTTCCTGCAAACCAAGTATCATCTACCTTATTACCTGGACAAACACGTTGAGCAGCGCGCCGCCGCCGTGGGCAAGGACATCCCCGAGGCCGTCGTACACTGGCTCGAGCTCGGCGGAGGTCCAATATGGAAACCATGGATTGAGCACGACGTCGGCGCCTTTCGTGATGACATGGCGGCGGCTTTTGCGGCGCAGACAGACCTTCCGGAACACGCCCACGAACGCGCGGACGCATACAAAGTACCCCGGCACGACATGCCAAGGCAGCACCGTCGTCGCGCGGTCGTTGCTGAGAAACGCCGACGAGTCCTCGATAAACGTCGAGATGAACGCGAGGACCAGGTTTACCGAGTCGCGCGACGGCGTCTTGAGCCGGTCTAAGAAAGGCCCAAGTGCCGTGCGGACCACTTCCGCATGGAGCAGCGGCGCGTCCACGTACAGCTGCGGACATGACCCAAGGAACGCCACATCGTCGTCGTCACTGGACGACCGCAACCCCTACACCCATATGAAAAGAGGTATTCAATTTGGCGAATACTTGTTCTGATTAAACATAATATATATATATTGTGCTTTCGAGTGAAATTTCATTGTATTGTTTGTGGTTTCTCGTTGGAAGTTAAATCGATTGGACTAGATGACCTCAAACGTATTAACCAATCAAAACCTTCTCCATGAAATTCAACAACCAATCAGATCGATTGTGGATCGGTTATTTGGTCGGCGCGATTCGATTGCACCCCCTCCCCAAATTTGTATCAAATCGACAATATATATATATATATATATATATATATATATATATATTAAAAACGAAAGATATCTACATATAGAAATCGATGCCTATGACGTATATACATATATATATATATATATCGAAGTACAGTATATATATTTCAAGCAAATCCAATTCATAGAATACTCGTACTCGTTCGATTCTGAATGCTACCAGTGTGTCAAAAGTAGGCCACGTCTAGGTAATTACATATAAATAGTAGGCTTACGTGTTGAAAGACCAGGTCCAGCGTGGCGAATGGAGTGGCCTGCACTGGAAGAATCGATGGCCGCTGGATGTAGTTGTTCGAGTTGAAGTTGCTTGTGAGGGTCGAGTTATTGTCGAGGCCGAGGGCGATGGAGGCGGCGGCTTTGAACTGCCGAAAGTGCGCTATCACTGCATCTCGTCGTTCGATCAAGGGCAAGGCGGATGATGATGTCAAGGAATCGGAGAGATGGGGGGGCTGGTCGTGGGGGGTGGGCGGGTGGTCTTCTGGCTCGGGGGCTTCTGCTGCTGTGTGAGCCTCGTCCTCGAGCGACGGCTCTTTCGACGATGTTGGGACCGCGGCGGCGGACGACAACTCTTTTGATGGGTCTACGTGTCGCATGGTACCCACTGCATGTGATGTCATGCGATATGGAGGTAGGTGGATGGGGGTTGCATATACATACCGCTTTGAACCAGCCAGCATGCATGAATCGCCCCAGGACTAGACGATGATAATCCTGCATGATTCGTTCCTTTGGTCGATGTGTGGGCGTCTTCGAGTTGGGTCGAGTAGGCCTCGATGACATGCAAGATCAACGGAGCCGCGACGGACGAGCACCGGTAAAAGGCCGCTGTGTATATGTGCGATGCAAAGTACGCGTGGTCTTGCGTGAGAATGCGGCTTTTCGCCAACTTGGTGGCGCAGTACTGGAGGCTCTGCTCGAGGAGACTATAGTACCGCGCTTCGACTACCATCATTCGCACGCATATGACGACATCGACACGGGAGAACAAGGAAACGTACTGGTGGTGTCCATCTTCAACGGCATGCCGAGCATCTCGACGTCGTTCACAAACTCGTGGCGCCGGCAAATGCAGCCGGCCAGGCGAAGGAACAGACCGCGTGCACCCGTGCGCACGGGCACAACGTCGCAAAATTCCATGATGTACGCCCATAGATCCAAAAGGGCTTCCTGGCCGAGCACGAGCGGTAACAACGAGATTCCCTTGGCCTTCGTAGAAATTGCGCCCCCCCAGTCCACGTACTTGAAGCACGGCGCTTCGACCATATCTTGGAGCTCCGCTAGCACGCTCACCTTCTTCTCAAAGTCCCAACCCGACAAATCGCGGGATTGATGCGCCATGTTCTTCTTGACGACGTTCTTGATGTCATTCTCCACATGCGGCGTGAAGAGGAAGTGGTTGCGCTCCTCCACCCGCGACGCTTGCGCCAACGTCTGCGTCCACATGCTCGTCATGAGACTCATGCTTCTGAATTGTCGTCTGTCTGCTGCGCTGCTCTCTGCACAGCAGATAGATTGTATCTGAATAATCTGAATAAATAAAGTGAACTTATTGGCTAGATAAAATTCATATATACCAATCATATTGTAACATATTTTAAAACATTGAATTGAATAGCATACAAATAGCAAGTGTCCATGACTGTCTTTGATGGCATTTATTGTCTTGACCTCACATGGGCAGCAAGGTCCGGTTGCGTCGCGGCCAGTACACGGAGGCCGAGCTCGTCCAGGCAGTGAGCAGGGTAGCTGACGACAAGGAGAGAGGCATCAATGTGAGCCAGACCTCAGGCATCCCGTACCGAACCTTGATGCAGCGTGTCCGCGAGCGGAAGCGGGGCATCCTCCCCGAGAAGAAACGACGCGGGTCCAAACCCAGCTTGACGCTCAAGTACGAGCATGATCTGCTGGCGTGGATGCTGGGGATGCAAACCGCAGGAAACCCCGTGGGCCGGAAGGAGATCATCGAGCGCGCCAACGACTTGATCAAGCAGTTAAAGCCCGACGCTACGTTGGGCGAAGGATGGTACCGTCGGTTCATCAACCGCCATCCGTCCCTGGAAGTGCAGCCCCCGCCCGTCGCCGAACAGCCCACTCAGCCAATCCTGAAAACTGGACTTGGGGAAGTGCCGTCCTCGTCGGCGCCTTCGATGCCCATTGTCATACGAGGGTACAAGAAGCGGACGTCCAAGGCGACTGTCGTGGCCGATGAAAGCAGCAGCATGCAGCTCCTTCCTTTCGACCACACCTCCGTCCGATTTCCCCCCCAACCTGTGGACATCCCCGACGCTTTCCGCCGCCAAGACCTGCAGCATCGATGGGACATGGAACGAGAACGCCTGCTAATCGACAAGCAAACCCATGAGCGCGCCCAGCGCGAAGCTCTCTTGAACGAGCGTATCTTACTCGCCAAGGCCACGGAAGCTGAGCTGCAGCTCAAGGTGGCTAAGGCCAAAGCCAAGCACGAACTCGAACAAGCCGGCCTCTCGCCCGCGGAAATCGACGAAATGTTGCAGTAGCTACGTTCCATATATTTAACCTCACTTTGGCCGTGTTGTTTGGCATTAACATCCACCAAGGCCTGGCGTCAATTCGGTTAATGCTGCTTGTGTGAAAACACAAGTACTACAGTACTAATAATACCTGTATTATTAATAGTACCTACTATTATAAATACACGTAGTACGTACTATTAATAGTACGTGCTATTAATAGTAAGCCCAAACTATTAATACTACTAGGAGCCGAATCAATTACTTGGCTAGTGAGGACATTATCGGTAACTGTCCAGCTACGCCACCCAAGAACACAGTCGGGTCGTACAGTCCGCCCGATCCATTCACATATGATTCGCATGATAGTTCATATCATGACTTGATATGTTTGGTGCTTCCTTCGTGCAAACAGAAAGGCTTTGGAATGAACAGTACTGCATTCTGATTCGTGTGTCGTTGGCGGTTACGCACGTCGAACCCTGACGTTCTTGGCGGTTTCAAAAGCCAAGCACTTCAAAAATCGTTTTACCCATCACCATTCAACGAGATAGCATGGGCAACTCGAGTCGGTCGTCGTTGCGACAACATGGCAAAGTGATCCACCTGCGAGCACATGATGCCGGCGAGGACGTGGACCTGGACCTGCTGTCCGAGTATTCGTTTGGCCTTGCCATGGACCACGAAGTCCAGCACTACATGCCGCCGCAGTTGCCGCTGCTGCCCATGCTGACCAAGGCGCGCATCGACATTTGCACGCGAACGTGGGACAAAATTCGGACGGCGGGCACGGAAAAGATGAAGAGCTATGGCAAACCGGGCATCGTGCTGTTCTACGACGAGTTCTTCTACCGCCTCTTCCAGCGCGACTCGACGTTCCGGACCGTGTTTGCCAACGCCAAGGAGCGCGCAGAGGTGCTCATCAAGGCACTGATGTTCATGCTGAGCATGCGCGGCGACTCGCCCCAGAGCATCGCCAACATGCAGAACCGGTGCCGGTTCCTCGGCCACAAGCACCGCGGGTTCCCGCTCGTCCGGCCCCACCACTTTGCCACGTACACCATGACGGCCATCGAAGTCATGATGTACTGGATGGGCGACGAAGCGTCCGTTTCCGTGGCCGACGCGTGGAGCAACGTCGTGGGGTTTGTGTTGCGGTAGGTCCTACCATCATCATCATCCAAAGTTGTGGCTACTACGATACAGTTTGACAAAGATGATCGTGCCTCTTTAACCGCTCTTGAGCGCAGGTACTTGCTCGAGCCATACCTGTGCGACCGCACGGATCCGTACGAGTACTACCAGAACACGACCATCGCCGCGGTGCGAGAGATCACGGAGAGCTCCAACGGCGGCGGGTCCTCCGTGGCGAGCAGTGTCACATCCATGCATCGCCCTGACTCGAAAATGTCGTCGCTTCGAGACGCAGCCAAACCTGTCGTAGCGACGACGATACAACAAACGAGTGCGCAAGAGCAGGGTTCGCTCCGGAAACCGTCGCAAATGAGAACGGCGTTTACGTAGCCTCACTTGTATATGGGCTACAACCGTAGCCAGTGCCGTTTTGGTTGTATTGTCGTAAATAAATGACATGTGTATTCTAGTACTTAGGTAGTCGCATGCGATAGACTAATAGAGTGTGAAGGTAGTGCGAATCGTAGCACAAGGCCGACTATATACGTAAAGAGGTTGCGGTGCCAACTTGAACGAGCAAGCCTCGCCCCATCCAGCGTCGCAGTTCACCACATACAGTAACTCTACCGGTGGTACAATTACAGTACTGGTTGTTAGCGTCATTTGAATTCGCGTCGCGATAGTGTGGAAAACACTTCAGGTCCGTTCCTGTACTCCCATACACATGTCTTTGCTGGGATTCATCACAAGTAGCCAGGGCTACGCAATGTACGTGTACTAGGACCATAGAAGCTTAGGGCATCCCCACCGGTGCGACTGTATAATCTGTAAAATACCGTTTTACAGATCCTGTATTTTGATTTTCGTCAAACCCAGCGGTAAAACTGTAAAACATCCGAATAATATTTTTATCCGGAAATGAACGCCTGGTGCGCACGGGCAGGACAACGATGATGACATGGATCACAAGCTTGGGAGATTCTTGGCTTTCATCAGTCTTCTGCGCGCCCTAAAGGCTCTATTGCCAACCGCCAGCCAAACCTACCACGAGATAGCGAGGCTGCGCATGCTCGGATTTACCTACTACTTTGGTCCCAATCCAATCTTCGGCGAAGCCAAGTTTCGCCGTCGTTTTCGAATGGCCAGACCGCTATTTGAACGAATCATGGACGGTGTGGTGATGCGTGATGAGTACTACCCTTGGACGCATCTTGAGAGATGTTGATCCATGACCGGACAAGCTGGCAGTCTTCGTCGGTCGTGAGTTGGAGCCACGGATGGTCTTGGCTGATTCCATTTCTGAACCAACTGATGATTAACTCCAAAACGCACATGATTGGACAAAATTATCCATTGATAGCATGTTATTGGCTAATTCGTCAAAACTGTATTTTACAGTCGCGACTGTAAATCTGGCCGATTTGCCGTCTCGCGGTAAAATTTTACAGTTTCCTGTATTTTACAGTCGCCCGGTGGGGTTGTCAAAACTGTAAATAATCCGGATAGAACTGTAAATAGTGTTTACAGTCGCACCGGTGGGGATGCTCTTACAACAACAACGCTGCATTGGAGAATTTCGGACAAACGTCGTATTCTGTCTTTACAATAACAGGAGAACTTCATCCGCCGAAATCCCAGCTTGTACCAAAGCATGTCTAGCTTTGGCATGGGCGAGCTTGGCCTGCACCTCGGCGACGCTGGCCTCGAGCTCGAGGACTCGTCGGGTGACCTTGGCCTCGTCGTCCAGGCGCATGTTGGTGATCTCCTGCATGCGCATCCGTCGACTGTCCATCTCCCACCGATGCTCGCGGTCCTGGCGCTTCAACTCGTCCTTCTCTCGCTCCACTTCGGTCGGCAACGGTCGGTAGTCGTCGTCGTCGTCGTCATCGACGTCCGCCATGTCCTCTCCTTCCAGAGGACGTTTCACCGGTGTGAACTTGGGAAGTTTTGGAAACCGATGCACGTCATTGCCCAGCACGCCGCTCTCAAGCGCCTTCTTGAGACTGTACACGCGGCTGGTGGACACTTCCGTGGCGAACGCGGTCCTGAGATGGTCTTGGAGCTGCGACGCCGTGGCATTCACGTAGTCGATGTCAGCAGCGAGCACGCTTTGCGCCAGCTAAAAACAAGGGTCAAACGATGATGATGGAGGAAGGCAGCTAGCCAACCGTCTTGGTGCACAGCATCGAGTTTCGGGCATTCTTGGGCAGTTTCTGCACTCCCAACGCGTGGTTGTGTGTGAAATTGGACTTGGTCAGTTTCACCTGGCCCGACTTGGTCAACTTGCCACGCACGAAGAAGGGGCACTCCGGGAACGACTTGCACAAGTAGCTCAATGTGGATCCGGAGTGGCGCTGCCGCACCTGAAAGCGATGCTGCACCGCCAACTGCATGATACTGTCGGCCATGTCGCCCTTGCTGTCGAGCAAATTCGTTGGACACGCCAGCCCACTCGACGTTCGCACCGCAAGCCCAAGGGACTCTGCGGTGTCCAGAAAGCGCTCAAACTCAGCATCGGGCGCCGCCATCACGTTGTGCTATAATGACCGGTTATTCGGATAACTGCCTCTTTTTATCACTGTACTAATATCCGGATAGCTCACGGGACTGATCCAGTACGTAACGTTAGAGCCTGTTTTGCCTCGGCATCCTGTTTAGCATACCGGTAGATGATCCATATATACAGTACTGTATACTTCTCGATTTATGCGTGTCATGCTTGCGCAGGGGCCAACGTTAGGCTAAGTGCTACGTAGTACAGTACTTCATCTTCTCTGAATCGTTCCAGTTCTTAGGATGTCATTCATACTACAGTACTGTATGTCTGGTCCCGAGTTCGATCCCACGAATACACTGTACTCAAATACGAGTACTACATGTATTTTAATAACATGTTTGTACCATTTTTTTCAACGTTTTGCCATTTTCCCGGAATGTATCCGTTGCTTAATCTAATTGGTGCAAAAGAACGAATGCTATCTCCTCTTTGATTGGCCAGTTCAAGAAGTTTAATACCCCAACACATCGTTGAGATATGGCTCGCCAAGTGCGCCATGCCATTTTTTTCAGCATAAACCGACCCGCCAGTCAGTCAAAATCGTTGTTATCACGTGCACTCGAAGCTTAAAGTCCTTATCTGGTGTCTTAACACTTCTTAACACTGCTGAGGAGCTTGGTACGTTTGCTTTGTAGTCTTGAGGACTGATGCAAGGTCTGGCGACGATGATTGTTGCAGCATGCACAAAATCCTCCAGGAGAATGCTATATAGAAACTTTGAGTGCGCATACCACTAGATTGTATAGCACTATAGTGCATTCATTGACGGCATACCCGTATCTTGAGTCTAGGCGCATCCACAGCGCTCGCATTGCCTCAGCATGCGGCGACCACCGTCGTTGGCCTATTTTGGGGTATAAACATTGGATAATTAATATATATTTCCTAATATTATCGAGTTAAAGAGGAATAATCAGAAATATTTCGAAAATACATACTTTAATCAAGTCTAAAACATGGTACAAACATTACGGACCAGAGTAGTAGTATTCTTCGGTAATATTACTACTACGTAGTATTAAAATAGTAATATTACCGTTAATAGTATTAACTTACTGACTTGACTCTTATCCGTATATAATATCCGGAGGCAGTTGGGACCTTTAACCTCCACATTAATTGTACGTTAAATAATAAAACCTCCACACTTCGATTTGGCCAGTTGGAAGTTTTTAGATAACGTGCACCATCCTATTAATAGTACTGTAGTACTGAATAGTAATAGTACTAACGTTACTACGTAGTACATGTATATATGCTTCGGAAGTAGTACTGTACGTAAAGCGAGCGATCTCATCGCAGCGACCGGTACCTGTAGTGTGATTGTCCACACTGTACATATGTATGTACGTAGTAGTACAAGTACATCGCATGAACAGAAACACTTTCCACCACTTCGTGGCAACTTACGACTATGCTCACGCCAACCCACCAACACGACCATCATACTGTCTGTCCATTTACTGGTCCAACGCTAGAGCCGCGTCAATCTCGTCTGCCGAGAGTCCGAGGGCAGTGAGTTCATGTCTGGCTTTGGCCAGGGCTACTTTGAGCGCCATCTCCGCCTCCCGGAGCTTGGCTCCTTGCGACCGCTGCACGAGGCGCGCCTCCATTTCTTCGCGCAGGTGGGCCTGCTCCTCCATGGCGAGTTTTCGCCGGTCCATGGCCCATCGGTGGTGCATCTCCTGGCGCATCACGCGGATGTCGTCCGTGGACGGCGGCGTTGGGTTGGCCGCCAGCGTCGCGCGCACGCGCTCCAGAGCCCCGCGCATGGCGGCGTCCATCTGGCGGAACTTGATCGCGTGTTTTTCAATGTCGGGGCTCTCCAGTTCGCGCCGGACGGTCGTGGATCGCGTGGGTCCGATGGGTACGCCAAATGTGGCGATGCAGTGGTTTCGGAACTCGGCATGCGTCGCGCGAAACCAGTCCATACCGGACGCGGCAATGCTGTGTGCAATCTATACAAGTATTGGGCTTGTCATCCACAATTGCGCCATTTTCGTTGAAACGTCGCTACCAAATCGAGGAACGAACTATGATTGGCTAAAATGAATAAAGTGTGTGCCGTATGATTGGCTAAACCGAATGAATGTTCAAAATCGTTTTGTATAAGATTTCGCAGGTCCGACAACCAACCACCCGAACTCTAAAGGATGATAAACAAATATGCCCAATGCAACCAACCCAACACATGAAAAACGACCCAAAAGCGATGAAAAAAGGATGAAAAAAGCTGAAAACGCATGACAAACCAACTAAAAACACACATGAAAAACAAGCGACCAACAGGATCTGTGACGTGGTCGTACGATGGCCGAGTTGAGCGTAGTGTTTTTGCCCGTCGCGGGCTGGCCCAGCACCCCAAACGGGTGGTTGTGGGGGAACACGCACAATCGCTCCGACATTTTGCAAGTGCCGGATGGCCGCACGTTGACAGACAGCGTGAACGGGCAGTCTTCCACCGACTTGCACGAGTACTGGAACGTGCCGTCGCGGTGCTTTAGCTGGAAGCCGACCTTGACGGCGAGAAACATGATGCGCGCGAGCAGGTCTTCCTTGTTGTCGAACACCTTGGACACGGGCTGGACCGAGGTGGGGCCAGAGCGTTTGCATAGACCCAGCGCCCTCGCCGTGGCAAAGTACTCGGCTTCCGACAACACGGGCGGGGGCGACGGGGTTGCGAGCGTAGGGTGGGTGCTGTGGTCGTCGTGGTCGTGGTCGTCGTGCGCCGCCACAGAGATCCGACGGGGAGGAAGAGGCGGTTCGATTTCGCCCCACTGGAAACTTGCCGTCGTGAACCCCAGCGGATGGTTGTGCCGGAAGCAATTCAGTCGCCGCGACATGCGCGTAATGCCGGTGGACTTGCTAATGTTGACCGTGATGAGAAACGGGCAATTCGAAGACGACTTGCACGTGTACACACGTGTTGTACCGCCCGTTGTTCCCGTCTTGAATTGGAATCCCGTCGCATGTGCAAACCCCGACACGCGCTCCGTGAGGTCGGTGTCGCTCGGGAATGGCGTTTGCGCCGAGCTGAGCGCCATGCCCGTTTGCTTCATGATCCCGTATGTCTTGGCAACCTCAAAGTACTCTTCCTCCGTCGAGATTCCGCTCATGGCCAAGGGCATGCGTCCATCTGGCGGCGGCAATTCCACCGCCGCCGCCGCCGCATGGTGGTCATCGATGTCTTGGGCATTCATGTGATGTCGATGGGCGGGATTTTATCATAATTAAATGTCGTGTAGATTATATTATAATATTCAAGCCGGAATCATTATCTTGGGTTTATTATAAAAAAACGTGATAAATAATTTTGTTACGACGTGTCTTTGTCATTTATAATACCCCGCTCTTACACGGACCAATCACATCGCTGGATTTCAAACTTTTCCGGATCACCCTCTTGGGTATCCAGCGCATTCTCAATTGTGCAAGTTGGGGCGAAGATGGACGAGGCCAAGGCAGTTGCCGAGGTCGCAAAGGAGCCGAGCGTCGCTCCCAAGCGAAGCCGCGGGCCACCTAAGAACGAAGACATCTGGCAGCACTTTACCAAGCTTAAGGATGCAGGCAAGTATCACAATTACTGGTACGTCGAGTGCAAGTGCTGTCGAGCAGCGTTCGTCGAAAATGCCGCTGGCACCAACGAGGGCGACATTCCAGCGCCATCTCCGATTGTGTCGCGTATTCACGACATGCGTCGTCACTTGAGCAATTGCGCGTATGTCAGTGACTACGTACCAGACGATAACACAAGTCCACGGCCGACCAAGTTGCTGAAAACCAAGGACGACAAGAAATCGGTCAAATCCAGTACCAAGGGGGGCAGCGGGAGCACCAGCAGCAGTAGCAACAATGCCATCGTAGACAAGGAAGACAAAGAGCTACTTCGCCGCGACATGGAGCATCGATGGGACATGGAACGTCGGCGTATGGCCCTCGAAGAGCACAAGAACGCGCGGATCGATCAGAAATTGGCGCGCCAGGAGGAAGAAGCGCAAATCCATCGGCGACTTCTCCTGGCCAAGGCGCAGGAAGCGGAGCTGCAACTGAAAGTGGCGTACGCGAAAGCCCGTCACGAGCTGCTGCAGGCTGGAATGACCCCTGAACACGTCGACCACGCCCTGTTGACCCGACCTGCCAGCCCGAGTAGCACACAATCCCCACATCCCGACCACATTGTGTAATATATACCACAACTCCAAACTGTCATGTCGTCTTAATGTATCAGGTCTCAGCCGAATGTCATCGCCGTGGTTACTGAGGTTGGCCATCTATTAATAGCCACATCCATACATTGCAATCGGTGGATAGGCTAGCTATATGACGACAACGACGGACACTCCCGTGCCGTCAAAGGCGACTGCATCTTCGTCTTCTCCGACAGTCAAGACTGTGAAAGCGTACACTCCTCAGCTAGCGCACTTGACGGGCTGTCCGCTTCGGGAGTCGATGATCCACTTTCTAGGCAACTTGCGGTCACTCGACTCATGGAAAAAGGAAGAGGAGGAGCTGGCGCCGCAGCTGGCCCACCTCGACCTGACCAACTCGCCGTTCGTGAAGAGCCCCATGAGTCGGTCCAGTGACATCCCTCGGCTGCTCGAGTTCATGGCCGAGTCGGCCGTGCAAATGAACTTTCTCATCCGGCTGCCATCCATCGAGCGGTGCCTTGCGGAATGGTAACCATGACGACGGAGATGCTCGCTCTCTCAACTACATTCGATCCTTTCGTTGTCGCAGGTGGCAGGTCATCGCCCCCGGCACCGCCACCCTCGTAACCCCTCCCATGGTTCGTCCAACGAACTCCATGACCAAACTGAACTGTAGTTATTGGCTGGTTGGTTGGGTAGCTCACGACGTTGTACACGGGGCTGGCGTCGGTGATGTTGGAGGCGCGGACTCCCAACTTGCAACAAAGTGGGGTGAAGATCCTCATGCGGTGCAAATGGTGTAAATGGGACAAATGGGTGGCGACGGCCGACCCGCCGCTCACCGAGACGGACGTGCATCAGCTCGTGTTCCAGCTCGGGTACATGGTACGATATTCCATGTCGATGTCTTGTGGTCTTCTGGACGGATGTATATGAGTAGTGCGTGCAGTCGGACCTGCTCCACGACTACACGGCGTTCTTCCGCACGACGCTGCACAAGCTGACAGTGTACTTGGACAAGCACGGCGGCGCGTCGAAAGCGAGCATCTCGGAACGAAGAACCAGCCGCCTCCAGCGCTTGGAGTCCCGGCGACGGCAGTCCAATTCGATTGTGCTCCATCCTGTGGGTAATGGCGGATCGAGCTCGTCATTATTGTCGTCGGCATCGGATCATCCATCGGCCAACAGCCGTGGAAGTGGCGACAACGACAGCAGTCCCCTCAGTCGAATGTCCAGTGGTACTACATCGACTAGTGCTTGCACTTTGGTGCTTGTTTAAATCGAATGGCTGGCAGGCCTCGTGGTGCCGAAAATGATCCCCATGACCATCACCCAGTTCCAACATCTGCGCACCAACCACGTGTCGTCGCAGGTGCTGGTCGCCGACTTGGGGCTGCTCCTGCCTCAGTTTCAGGTACCCCTCCCTTCAGAACACTCTCGCATGAACAGATGACGCACTTGGCGTGTGTAAACGTACGTTAGCCCCTCATATGAATAACGTAGAATAAGTTCCACGTCGTGGAGACCATGGCGAATTCGATCCAGCCCCTTGAGTACGCCCCGCCCCTGCGTATTCATGCTGTCCCTTGGATGAACCCCAAGGCGAGCTATAACCCACCCCCGGCAGACCACCAGGACCCCTCCGCCCTTGACGCGAGTCAGTTGGGTAGTGGCACGACGCTGGGTGACATCGAACGCCTCGTAAACCACTGCACGCGAGCCATGCACCGGTCAAGCCTGCGACTTGATGGAAACGCACGAACGAATCAACAACAAGGACGCAACGACGACGAGCTCTTAAGACGTAGCATGTCCAACCCATCGTTGCGACAGCGGCTACAGCAGCAGCAGCAGCGAGGGGGAGCCCTGACGTGAGCACTGCAGTGGTATACTATTTATTGCTTTACCCCCAACGCCACGATGGCTTGGGTTTGAGTTTACGCACGTAGATGAAAACACGAAGGCACTACATTCTGTTCGTTCAGATAGCCCCCATGTGAAATATACCACTCACGACGTAGCTAGCGAGGCCAGTCCTGCGAGTACTGTAATGGTAGTAGCTGCGTCTGGATAGGTATATTGGTATCTCTTAGAGTAACATATCATCATAGCGACGGCAGCATCACCATCACCGCCCTGGATTCGCGACAACGTGTTGAGAATATAATTACTTCAGCTGCATCCTTAGAGAGTCATACACTTGTACGGAGAAGCGTCAGATATATATGAGCGTCGTTTGGCGTGGGTATTTCGTTGTGTTCTGGCCATGGATTGCCATGTTCATCGCGGTAATCTCTACACTAGATCAGGAAACAGTTGGTGCAGGAGCCGCTGGATGGCGGCGGCGTGGCCGGCGCGGGTGTTGCGAAACTTGACTTGGTGCTGCAGCCCATCCACTTGGAGTGTGTTGGCGGCGACGTCGTGGGCGATGGCCCATCGGTTCGCGGGCACGTGCAGGTCGGCGATTTCCACGGCATCCAGAGCAATGTCCCTGACAAGCGGGATCCACGCGGGGGTCGCCAGTACGTTTGCGACCACATGGTGCGTCGGCGCGCGCACCTCGACCGCCACGGCCTGGGTCTGCACTTCCAGCATGGTGGGCAGCTGCAGCGCGTGTTCGAGAAAGGCCTTGGCGCGGTCTTTCTTGGTGGTGGGGGGCTTCACGACGGAGTGCAAGGGTTTACAAAAGAAAGTCTTGTGCCGACCAGTGGCGATCTCCTCAAGCGATAAACTCGAGTCTATCGATAAGTGTGCATTGATTAGCATGGGGGTCGATCGAAGAATGCAACAATTTAAAGGCGAGTTCTCACCATGGAGCTTGGACGACAGCGTTCGCTGGAATTTAATGACTGCACATGGACTCAGGCTGGCTTTGATGGCGCCAGTCATGAGTTTGCCTTTCCAGGCATATTCCGATGCAATCTGGAAGGATATTCAACCAACTGTATCTACAACATTAGAGACGTGTATGTATACATACATTTGATGGATCGTAGCGAAGCCCTGCGTACAAACAGCCGTCATTGGGGTCTGAGATGCAGTCGACCACCACGAGGCAGTCGTGCTTTAATAGTAATAGTAATTGCAATTTTAGTACATACTAGACATCCATCAAAACAAAAAGGGGGGGGGGTATACGCACCGAATCGGGGGCCCCAACAATCGACGCTGTGACACTTCCAAGGCGGACCTCCAAGAGCACAAACAGCAGGGGGGACGCCGCCACCGCCGCGCAGCCGCGAAGAAACTCGCAGTTGAACTCCCATTCCTTCTTCCTCGGGGCATGGGCTGCATCCACATGTCGAAATGCAAACCGAATGTGCCCAATGTCTACGTGCACCATGGGTTTCGACTGGTACTTTTGTACTACGTCCGTCATGACATCAGTCTTGTGCGATGACTGAGCAGACGCCGCCACCGCAGCAGCCGACGGTGCCAGGGGCATGAGGTGTTTCGTGGACTTGTCAAAGAGCACGGCCTCCACATCGACGAGGTTCCACGCGCTCTCATCCTTTAGAAACGAGTGCACACGACCGAGGCGCTCCAGACTTCCGCGCTATGACATCCGCATAGTTTAGCAACTATTCAAGCAACGTGGTGAGCTGTAGCATACTCGCACGACCGACGAGCTGCTGCCGCGAGAAAGGTCGGACAATGCTTGCTTGGCATTGCGCTTGACAAACTCTTGGCGAATGATGCGGTCCACTAGGGCTCGGCAGTACAACTGCCTGTCCGGCGTCAGCTACAATTCGCTCGTCACGTGCTGACTCATCATGATGTTGTCCGAGTCACGTACTTGGTACATCAAATCTGACAGGTGCCACAGCTCCGCACGACTCAGAGGTTCATACTACGTGATGGGAGGACGAGCCAACCAACGTGTTTACCAGCTACATAGGGCCAACTAGAACAGGTTACCGTGGGGAGGACAGGGGGGAGCGACGGGTTGCCTTGTTTGTGCTGCACGAGCAGGTCTCGCACGACGTATTCGACGTAGGTCGAGCCCATTTTGCGCTTGTACAGGTCCGTGTACTTCAAGATGAGTTTACTGAGCCATAGCACATTGTCTTGGCCATCGCGACGCTTCGGAAATACATCTTGGAGGACGCACCGCACCGCGTACTTCCACATGGCGCGAGCGGGGAACGGTGCCCGAATGGGGGATGTCGATGCCGACGTTGGCTCGACCGGTTGGATATGGGGGAGGACGTTGAACGAGACAATCACGAGGGGCGCCGGATCGACGTCCGCCCGGACAACCTGCGTCGGACGCAGCTTCCGGTACCGTGTATACCGTTCATGCGTGTCCAAGTGCTGCAAAAGCCGTCCGAGTACGTCGATCTACGTCGTGGGCCAGTTTAGCTCGCAAGTGGTTAATGGCATTCTGTTTGTCCTTAGGGACAACAGGTGATATGTACCTGCTGGGGGTCTAGTCCCACGTTGAGTTGGTTGACGTGAAGGTCGACGGCGCGCGTTTTGAGTTTTCTTGTGACGTGGCACTCTTCCAAGTCGACTTTGACTTTGATGTCTGTAGGTACAAGTACGGCCACATGGACTTCGGCGGGCCACTGGCGATGAAACAGCGCTTTCCACTGGTCCGGACTTCGTTGCGTCGTTGGAATCCGAGAGGTGTACACTTGCAACCCATCGATTGCCACCACTTTCGACATGCCTTCGGTGAGCACGGGGACTTGAGGCGGCAAGGCGCGGCGACAGAGGATGGCGGATGCTACGTCTGTCGAGAACACGGATAGTTTCTACAATCGTAGCTTTACGACACAAAGCGTTGAACATTGGAGCCGTCATAAGCGATAGAGAACATACTGGCATGATGAAACCCACTACATCCGTGGTCGCGGCATCGCTGCCACCACTGCCATCTGCATCTATCTATGACCACCCAAAACGTAGTTCCGTGAATGGACAGGGCACCAGACTTGGCTTATGGAGAGAGCGACTCATCAAGGGGTGGTATTGTTTCGATCTAACCTCGACGCGGCATTGGGTGTTTTCCACTTGTATCGTCATGTTGTGCAGCGCCGCAGTCACTCGTTTCTAATCAAGTCTCCCCAACATAAAAATCATATACCATCGTAGGACAGTTGGGCTAACCTTGATCCAGGTTTTGGTCGACTCGTTCTTTTGTGGCCCTTTGCCCTAGTACGATAGTAACGCAAGTTGTGTACTAACGTTGATAGTGCAGCACGCATCCATGCCTCAATGTGGTATCGGTTCCACAGCCGATGCAGCAACGCCACAGCCAACTCGTGCGCGTACCGCAGCTGGAGTTCGTCCGTCCAGTCGATGTGCTGGTTGGCTCCAAACACAAACAGCGAGTCGCTGATCGTGCAGCGCAGGGCCGACCCCGACGTCATGACCCCCCAGAAGCCCTGCATGGACACATGTCCTACATGGTCAAGGACTCGCTTGGCGGATGACTACGAGGATTGCACCTCGATGCGGATGTGGCCAATGTACGCGACTTTGAGAGTGAACGGCAGCGGGAGGGCGTTGAACACATCGGACTTGACGAATGAATCCTGGAGGCGGAAGTGGCTGTCTTGGAACAGATCGCCCAGCGCCGAAAACTCAAACTTGTCGTCCGACACGTCGACAAACAGTTCGTCTAGAATGTGCCGAATGCGGTCAAACAGAATCTTCTTGGTCATCTCGTCAAGAATCACGTGAATGGTGGGGTGGCGGTTTCACTGTCGGTTTCACTTTCTGGTGCGCACCAACCGTTAAAAAATTTCATCCAATGAAGTAAAAGTCATATTTAGGCCAATGAGCATCCTTGAATACTTTTCACGGTAGCTGGTTATTGCTTGGAAGTACCAGTTTCGATCAGATTTCACTGATGTTTTGTCATAGGTACAGTATACTGAAGGGGGGTACAGACGGTAGTACTACTATTAATAGTAACGTTACACAATGAAAAAGAGTGAAATTTCGTGTTGTGGCGTGGTTTCTCGTTGGAATTTAAATCGATTTGATTGGCTACTTCAGTTTAGCTCAAAATTATTAACCAATCAAAACCTTCTCAATGAAATTCAACCAATCAGATCGATTGTGGATCGGTTTGATCGGCGCGATTCGATTGCACCCCCTCCCCAAATTTGTATCAAATCGACAATACATAACTTCCAGTACTTCGTAGCATGGAGAGTCGCATTCCATCCAATGATCAGTACTTCGAAGTGATGCTGGCACATTTCCTTTTACCCACATGAACCACTACCACATCTCGATGGCTTTTGTCTTGATTAAATATGGGATTACATTCTATGGGGTGGTGGGGGGGGGGGTGCAAGTGGGTGGTATGGGGGTTGCGGGAGTTGTTGGTGTGGGGTATATGGAAGCTGTTGGTGGAGTTGGTGCGGAGGGGGGTTGTGTTGCGGATGAGGCGATTGGTGGCTTTCACGACCCCCACGTCCGCCAAATCGCCCTCGTCCACGGCCTCCTCGTCCGCCGCCTCCCCTTCCGCCCCCGCGTCGATTCGCGGGGGAGACTCGGCCTCCGCCATGAGTCCCACCCTGAAAACTATGATGATTGCGATGCACTGGACCACCTCCTCGTCCGCCCGGATGATGCCGAGGGTTGTTGTGGGGGATCACGACCCCGCGAGGGGGGCCGGGCGGCGCAGGTACGAGTGTAAACAGATTTTCCTGGGGGTTTGGTACGTTCACAAGACACCCCGTACCCCGCGCATGGTCCAGCAAGGCGGCCCACGGCGTCGAGTTTTGCAGCGCGGCTTCGCTCCCCAGCACATAACACGCAAACTTGGCGCGGGTAAGTGCCACGTTCATGCGGCGAATGTCGTTGAGAAACCCAACGCCTTTGCGCGGGTCCGAGCGCACGGTCGACACTAGCCACATCACGTTCAGTCTGTATCGCAGCAAATGTCTCTATACACAGTGTCACACACGTACGAATGATAATGTCCTTTTCGCGGCCTTGGTACCCGTCCACCGTGTTGATTTCCACGTCGTGGTGAAACTCGCCATTGCATGCGACGGTGAACGCGCGCTTGAGCTCATCCATTTGCGCGGCGTACGGCGTAATCACGCCGACTTTGCCGCGGATGGCATCGGGCGGACAAGAGTTGCGCAGGGTCAGGTACAAGTTGACGGCTAGCTTGACCTCCATCGGGTTGGTCCGGGACATGCTGCTCATGGCTTCGCGGGAACTGACCAAGTTCCAAAACACCAGCGGCTTGAATGCCGGCGCGAGGCCGTGGTACATTTTGGCATATGTTGGTTGGCGGACGTTATCTCCATCTTGCAGCAGCCCGCCGTAGAAGTACTGCCGCGGGAACGCCGAAATCGTCGGGTGGCTACATGAATATATAAGATTATAATCGTTGATTCGAAATTCGAGTAGGGTGCTCCCTACACCCAATCGGCAGACGATCGATATATCGACCAATCAAAACCCAGATCACGAATCAAGTACCCAATCAAATTCACTGTTCAACAAACTCAACGTCGAATTAGTGTATGACTTCATTTAGTGTGATACCATGTTTACATACTTTTACATACTTCGAAGTACAAACGTCAGTCCAAACAAAGAATGGATCGATAGATTTTGGTGAATCAGCACAAAACGTCCACATTTGGGGTAAAATGGACAATAGTGTTAATCACAACACATTCAAGCAAAATACCACAAGAGTACTAACTACTACGTACGATCGATACTGGGTCCGCAGCATGTGCACGGGGTGGCCGCAGCTCTCGAGGCGCTCAAACAGACTCCGTTCGTACAGCGACTGCGCCGACGTGCGCGAAAACACTGTCGCAGACAGCTGCTGCGGGTCGCCCACCAGCACACATTGGCGGCTTCCAAACCTAACGACAAGAGCAGTAGTTTTACAGTCATGCGTGTCGAGATACGATAGATAGATGGTTCGTACCGCATGGGAATGATCGTGGACAGCTCGACGGCTTGCGCAGCTTCGTCAATAACGAGAATATCGTAGCGACTTGAGTCGTCCAGCGCCCGATGGCCCGCCGAGCTGAGCGTGGTAAAGACAATGTGCGCCGACTCTAGGAACGACGACTCGAGCGTGTCCTGGGTCTCTTTTACCACGCGTCCGTGCGCTTCCATCGACCGGCGGACCATGGCATACCGCTGCAATTCGAGCTTGAGCTACACATTCCAGTTTCAATATATATATATAAAAACACTCTATATCGATACCGAGTGAAAGCGTTCGAGGCACAAGTTGATGCGTTGGGCCATGTCTTTGTACGGCTTGTACGCGTTGTAGTCTATAATCACTGGCTCGTGTGACGGTGGAAGTCGAGGGATGGCGGTGACGATGTCGTCGGATGGGGGGGGAGGGGGCGGCTCAATGTCGCTGCACTCGCCGTCCTCCGCGGAACCCGCCGCCAGGTCCACGGGCACCAACGGCTCGTCCACGTCTTCCTCGTCGCCATCTTGGTGCATTTCGGCGGCGGCGGCGGCGGTAGCTCCATTGGCGAACGGCTCGTCGACCTCGTCAGACTCGTCGCCACATTCCACCGGCACAAATGGCTCGTCCATCTCGTCTTCATCCAAATCGTCATCGCCGACGTGCACAGTCACCTCGTCGCAGGAAAACGGCACGTGCGCAGCGTCGTCGTCCTCCGAGTCGGATCGGTAGACCGCCAACGCCGCCGGAGTCGCGTCGGGTGGTGCGGCGGCGCTGTGGTGGTCTACGATGGGAGGAGGAGCCACGTCGTCGACGACGATGGCGACTGCCGCCGCGTGCGTCTTGTTTGCATCGTCCACAAGGTCGTGGATCCACTTAATAATAGCTCGAAATTCATTGCGCAGCACCACAGCATCGTTTTGAACCTAAGTAGTAGACGAAACAAATAGTAGGTCAAGGTGGTTGGATGGGCATTCAAAAGTCGTGAAATAGAGATGCATGATATTGTGCTATTTCGAGTGAAATTTCATTGTGTTTCTCGTTAGAATTTAAATCGATTTGATTGGCTACTTCAGATGAGCTCAAAATGATGAACCAATCAAAACCCATTTATCAATGAAATTCAACCAATCAGATCGACTGTGGATCGATTTGGTCGGCGCGATTCGATCCCCAAATTTGTATATCAAATCGACAATATATCAATATTATAACGACGTTTGGTTGGTACATACCACGGACAGTTCATGCTGGAGCTGCCGACATCGCATTTCCACCGCTTCCTGGGGCTGCGAACACAACGACTCGACCATCCCTTCCAACACAACGCTCTTGACATTTACGTTCTAGTCATCCAAACACATATATTATATATATATATATATATATACATGAGTTGTAACTTCGTTGTCCATCGATATCCATCACACAGTCTCATGCGTTCCCGTCAGTCTTACCGCGCCTCGACCCACACGAATGATGTTGGGAAAGTACTGCCGCCCTTCTCCGTCGCAGAACCCTTCCTCCATGATCTTGGCCACAATGTTGTCAACAGCAATGTTAGATGGCGCCGCCACCTACCCATTGTGTTATCAAGAGGCCAGTGAGCGACGTTCGTACGAGAATATGTGGCTTTTCGTCGCCAATAGCCGCCCACGCCTTGGACGTTTCATGGTCTGGCCGTCGCGCCACGTCCAGCACAGCGTTGTAGTACCGGTTGTACTCTCTCAAATGGAGCGAGTTGAGCAGCCCCTTGAGTGTCGTGGTCTTGCCCGTGCCCGGGGGTCCCTTGATCAATGTGAACCCGTGGGACGTGGCAGCCGCCGCGATCGCCTCTTGCTGCGACTCGTTGAACGTCTTGCGCAGCCATTGCACGTACGCCATGCCGAGGCTATCCAGCTTTGTGGACGGCGGCTGCGCTTTGCCAGACAAGAGCAGCGGCATGAGCTTGTACTCGCGGCACTGGCACAGCGCGCGAAACTCGCGAAAACTCGTCACGAGGTTGTTGAGCTTAAATACAAAGAGGGGCGGCGCCGCGTCTTTGTGACCCCCGCCCGACAGCTCGCGCCATTTCTTGGACGTTACGACCACCACCAGCCCTTCCCTAAGTAGTAAGAGGCAACATTAGTGTCTAGTATATGCAGTTTGGACCAGCACGACATGCCACAGCCATCCCGTTTGGCTGGGGGGAAGGGGGGAATGGGGGGGTATGTAGTAAGACTAGTTAGTAGGTATATATATAGTAAGACTAGTTAGTAGGTATATATATATATAGCCATCCCGTTTGGCTGGGGGGAAGGGGGGGGTATGTAGTAAGACTAGTTAGTAGGTATATACCTGGACGACCGCTGCGAGTCGACAATGCCCAAGATGCCACACGATGTCGTCAAGAGCATGTCGTCTGGCTTGGACGGTCCTCGCATGCGCCGGGTCAGGTACGTGTTGTCGGGTGTCAGTAGCACCAGGTCGTCCTTTCGAATGTCGTCCAGTTGAAGCAGTTGCTTCTTGGTCGGATTGGCGCCGCGGTTAATGAGTACTGACACCTTGATCGTCGACACGCCCACCGTCGCGAGCACGTTGGTGCGGGTCGTGACGGGAAGCGCGGGCGGGAGGTCGGACGAGAGGCCGTTGATGGATTGCGCGTGGACTTCCTGGACTGCCAGCGGTTTCCACACGTCAAAGTAGTGCTCAAACGACTCAAACGTGCTCGGCACAACGTCGTCGCAGCAGTTTTTGTCCGGTTGTTTGGCGGTGGCCGAAGGATGGGCGTCTTGTACGAGCGCGGCGCCAACGTCCCAGTCCATGATGTCTTCGTAGAACTGGCTGAGGGCGTTCGACGAGCTCATAACAGGCCGAAGCAACTGCGCTTGGCGTTGGCGATTCGGCCGCTTGTGTAACGCCAGCGGCTTCGTCGTCTGAGACACAGTGCTGCCGGCCCAGCCAATGCCGCCAGATACGACGACTTGCGAGGTTGCATTCGATGGCGGAGCGAGAGGAAGCTGTGACTTGGTATGCTGTGACCGCTTCAAGATGGATTTCGGCTTCTTCAGCAACACTTCGTCTTCGTCTGATGAGTCCGTGTAGATGGGCAACGCAACCTTCACGTTGGTCGACGAGGGTTGGTCGGTGGCACGAGGTCCAACGGCGCGGCGCTGCCTTGGATCCTTTGGGTTCTTCTCTTGTCTGGGAATGGTGAGCTCGCTCTTGACAGGAGCTTGACGACGTTGCCGTGGGTCTTTTGGGTTGCTCGACATTGTCACGTCGGTACGTTCGCGCCGTTTCGCGGCGGCCGTGATGTCGTTTGATATGGTGCCGTCTTGCATTGCGTTGAGCGATCGTTTTCTCGTAAGGTTGCCAGATCGAGGTTTCGTGTGTGAAGGCCTCAGGTCATCTTCGTCGTCCTCGCCTCCCGACGACACGGACGACTCGTCCTCGTCGTCTGGGTGCCACTCTACCTCGTCATTGTCCTCCTCCTCGTCGTCAGCGTTTACTCCGAGTCCTAGCGCCGCGCGGCGAGCGTTCTGAAGATGCTGCAGTTGCTGCGACCGCGACGACGCGCTTTTCTCCGACTGGCGCGCAGATTTGCGCATGTTACGCGGCGGATACTTGGACAACTACCTACGGCACGTGAAAAACGAAAATGACCCCAGAATATCGCATCGTTTGGAACACCACCAAGTACACTTTTGATTTAATTTCCCATAATTCGAACGTCACCATTTATTATATTATCGTTTCACAATAAGGGGAGATATTTTTATGCAATAAACTGGTTGGACACCAATTCCGTTTCCGGAATCGACAATAAGCTTAACAATTAGAAATACCGAGTCTGTAGATATTTGTGTCGTATGGATATATATATTTATATCGTTATACCTTGAAGTATTCCAATAACGTAAAAGTCCAATTTAAGGTGCTCGATCCAATTTAAGGTGCAAGCGAATTAGCCAATCAATTCCTACAATTAACCTAACCGCCCAATAAATATGCAAATGGATATACAAAGACTAAGCTTAAAGTGGTGCATCTTAAATTGGACCGCTTATGATAATGAATTATAACAGGAATCATATCGCATTCATAACTCCCAAATAGGCCTGGATTTTGGCTTCATGTAACATATTGTAGAATTATAATCCAATACCTACGAGTCGAGTTACATGCCTTCCACGGCAGCGTCTCGGAAAAAGTGTTCTTAAATTGGACTTTTACGTTATATTGCACCAAACATGTAGCTCCAGTTTGCACGTAGTAGTCGTCGTACTTGACGCCTCGATTACATGTAGTGCGTGCTGGGAGTGGTATATATAATATTTCTTCAAAGCAACTGATAATATATATAAATATATATATTTGATTGGAATGATTTTATATGAATGGAAAATTCGATTTGGCAAAAAACAATTCCATACAAAAAGCAAGTTGTTTCATTCATCGAAAATAGAAATGTAATGACTGTGTTTGAGTATACCATTTCTTTTTTTGGCATCTATCTCGAGTGTGTGCACTGTGGCGTCGTCAAAGCAGAAGTTAGTAGTGCCAGCGAAGAGAAGATATGATCAAGTTCGTGCTCATGGTGAACAAGCAAGGCCAGACGCGACTAGCGCAGTACTACGACTTCCTTCCCATTGCGGAACGCGTGGCGCTCGAAGCAGAGATCATCCGCAAGTGCTTGGGTCGCAACGAAAACCAATGCTCGTTCGTCGAGTACCGCGGGTACAAGGTCATCTACCGCCGATACGCGTCGCTATTTTTCATCGTGGGGGTGAACAACGACGACTCGGACAACGAGCTGGGTGTCCTCGAGTTCATCCATGCGCTGGTCGAGACCATGGACAAGTACTTTGAAAGCGTGTGCGAGTTGGATGTACGTTCGTGCCCTTCCGTGGTTCCCTCCCTCATCGCCATGTCTATGTAGATCATGTTCAACTTGGAAAAGGCGCACTTTATCCTGGACGAGATGATCATGAACGGACAGATCGTCGAGACGAACAAGCTGTCGATCCTCAAGCCCATCCATCTCATGGAGAAGTCGTCGTGAGTTCCCCGAGAGCCCATTCCAAAGCACATCGTAATCCAATATCGTCATGTGTGCGTGATAAATATTATCGTCATGTCAAGAAGGGGGAACGAACTACTCTATAGTTACTCTATCAAGTGGTAGAACAGCAAGTACCCCGTGGCAGTATTGGTCCTATCTTCAGTGTTTCCGCGGCCAACACAATGCTCTAACATGTCATCGTCCACCATCTACACACACCGATGCATGCACGACATGAACAGATGCTGGAGGCATTGTTGCTCTAGTTGTACTGTACCTGCACAGATTCGTCGTCAAAGCACACCCACGTGTCTTGACATCGGATCATGCTCACGTAGTGCCCGTGGTCGGTGCCGTTGCCAATGTGAATCACCACCCCAAACAACTACAAACACTGTCACAGCCAACACTCTAGTAGTAGTGCTATGGAGTACCTGGTACCGTTTCGACGAGTCCAGCGACGCCGCTTCCGTCTGTCGTAGCCATAGATATATATCAACCAACCATACCAGATCAACGGCGCGGGCGACGTACGAGTACACTGGGCAGCTTCAACTCGGCCGGAAACAAGATGCGATGGAACAGTTTCTCAAACGACTGGGTCTCCTCCATGTACTTGAACCGCTTGAGATGCACCGCCAGCACATGCGGAATGCGCTTTACATGCATGCGCTTCTGGGCATTCTATATACAAGTGCCATGTCTGAGGTACTTGGCATTAGGTACTTTGGCATTAGGTACTTAGGTACTACGGGATTGAGTATTTGTGTATATGTACTTGCGTATTACTGACGTACCTGAAGGCCATCGCAGGTGTCGCAAAAGAACTTGTCGTTGCCGGCCAACGTCTCGGTAGCTCCAAACTTTTTGAGGCACGAGGTGAGCGACGTGTGGGGGTCGATCTCGACGCTCAGGTCCAGGAACGATTCGTCACGACATGTGATGGTGCCGCACCCGAGGCATTTCGTTTCGTTGGTGAGGATGCCCTCGAAAATCTCATGCACCCACGTCTTGTACGGAGACGGCGAAGCTGAAGATGGAGATGTGGGCGACGGCGGCACCGACGACTGTGGCGACGACAGTCCTGCGGCAGCCTTCAGCTCACTCTCCACTTGATCACACATGGCGTTGAGCACGTAGTTGAGAAACTCGTGGGCGTCCTATGAACGACGATGAACATGGTCGAATGGTGGGCGAGGGCAGTGTGTACTTGGTGCATGGGCCCACGGAACATTTCGTTGTCGCGCTGCAGCCTGGTCACAAACGTCTTGGGCGTGACGTACCCCACGGCCTTCTTCTGCATCGAGATCTTGTGAAACAGCTCGGCCATGCAATCGAGCAACGACTTGTCCTTGACGTCGAGCTTCTTCTTCGCGAGGCCCTGGAACCAAGATGAGCCAACGAAGCATAAGACATTGCCATGGCGATGGATACGAGCGGTGATAGAAGAAAAAAACCTACATTGTGCTGGACATGTGTGAGCAAGTGCGTTCGGAACGGGAGGCAAAAGTAGAGCACTTGAAGGATCGAGTTGCAGTAGCACGTGTTGCCAAAGTTCTCCAGCCCAAAAAACTTCTCGTTCTCTGGAAGCAGCGACAGCGAAATCCCCATGTTGCCATGACCACCTCCTAGACTGCCAGAGATGCCATTTCCCATGCCAGCAATCAACAGAGCGGTAATTGCCGCCAAGCTTCGAAAATGACGAAACCAATCTTGGTGACCCAAACACATACCACCGGATACGGACAAGCTTTCCGGATAATGTGGCCGTCGACCACCTTTTGGCGTGGACAAAAATATTCATTTCACCAGCGAAGAATGCGGCTGTCCGAGTGCATGTGCGTGTTTGCCCTGTGTGGCTGGTGCGTTTACATCTTGAGCTACTTCATCACGAGCACCAACGTGGACATCGTGCGCTCCTTGGAGAAGAAGTCCAAGTCCAAGGCGCTGGCGGCCCAACTGCATGACCCGCCGAAACTGGGCTCGCACCAGCATCCAACCTCGTTGGGGTTTGTCGTGATGGGAGACTTTGGCACGGGTACGAAGCTGCAGGCTCAAGTAGCCGCATCCCTTGGTGACTTTGTCGAGGTCACGCAGCCCCGCGCATCGTTTGTGCTGTCGACCGGCGACCAAATATACGACCACGGGTAGGAGTAGTTCCCCTCGTCGACTTTTCAAATCGTCCACGCTCATGGGACCCCAACGTAGACTCATATCTGCCGACGACCCAATCCTCATCTCCAAGTTTGAAAAGGTAGCACTGCCACCACGTACACACATTTCGTTCATGGCTACTGCATATTATGACCTTCACATGGCGCAGATCTACAAGCATCCAGCTTTGCAACTGCCTTGGTACATCAGGTACTGTAAATCCAGTGCCGTCCTACACTAATGATTATTTAACGGCTCACTGATTGGCTAAAATTGGCATTTCCAACTCCAAGTGTTTTGGCTCGCCCTTCTGTGGGCTGTTATCCCCAATGAGACTATATAGCTCCATCAACTGCAAACCAAGTCCCTTTGCGCAGCTATACTTATGCATGGTGCACACTTCTCCGTAGCATTGGCAACCACGATTGCGAAGGTAGCATCGATGCCATGCTGGGGTACGCGAAACGCACCAAGACGCTATGGCGCTTTCCGCAGCGGTAAACTCGCATGTCGTACGTCGTTCTGTGGCGCAAATGTCCTTAGCTCGAGAGAGTGTGTAGCTACTACCACATGGACCACCGGATTGACAATTCCACGATCGTGCGGTTTGTCGTGCTGGACGCGTGCGACCTCGTGTGTGGCCAAGAAGCCCCTGAGTTTAAGGACTTTCGATGCACACCCAACATGGACGCGCAGACGTCCATCGCATCTCGACGCCGGCAGTACGAATGGATGGAGAACGTCCTCAGCATGCCACCGCCCAAGGCACTCGGACGCGATGACGACGACGTGTCACGCATGTGGACCGTGGTCGTGGGTCACTGGGGCGTGTACAGCTTTGCCGGCAACGGCGACACCCCCGAGCTCATCTCGAACCTCGTGCCATTGCTAGAGAAGTACAAAGTGCACGCGTACTTCAACGGCCACGACCATGCCATGCAGCATGTGCGCAAAGGCAACATCCAGTACTTCACCAGCGGCGCCGGCGGGTACGTGCTCCACGACCTCAAGCCCCAGGCCCGCGCCCGCCCGGAACTGGTCCACGTGGACATGACCAACGGCTTCATGTGGGTGCAGGTCTCCCACGACACATTCCGCGTCCAGTTTGTCGATGGCGCGACCACTGAAATTCTGTACACGACCGACGTGCCGTTTAGTCATCCACAATCGTTATAAAGATACATGTCCAAGTGGAAGGGTCCATAAAGGTGTTAGCGATCGCTGCACTTGACATGCGAGTACTGTATTGTTGCACGGAGGACAATCGATTTGCAGTGGATGTGCGATGGGTTGGACGCTGCAGAAACTTGTGAGATTTCTACTGGCCCAGCGTCCTGGCTCGCGTTGCGACTCAAACTGCGCATCACCTAACGACCGCAATAGCTCATCATATCTGTTTGAACCATCAAAGCCCTAGGTAGACACCGCCATGGAACGATGGCGGCAGCGTCATGGCAGAAAGTAAGTTTCGGGTTATCCGGATGTCCCGGATACGTTTTGAAAATCCGAATTCTGCCTGGCTGCCTGGCCACTCGGACACGCATCCGTAGTGGCATGCAGAACAGCACATCGGCGCCACCTTCGTCGTCCGGTGAGCAGCGACCGGCGGCCGGACGGAGGAGTCCTGAGCGAAGAAACAAGTCCCGAATCTCTGTAGCGAGCCGCAGCATACTCTTCTCCCCTCCGGCATTTCATCAGCCCCCAACACCAGGTGCTGCTGTCGTAGCAGGCGGCGGTAGCATCGGTAATGGAAAGGCCACGGAAGATGGCGGTCAGCAGAGTACGACTACCCCAATGTCGCTTCCTCGATGGAAGCGAAAGAAAAAAGTGGACGAAGCTGCACCATCCCCCGTGCACAAGTCCAAAAAGGTTGTCACGGTGAGTCCATTGTCGCTTCTAGTGGATGTCTATGTCGCCGTGCTTCATGCTGGTAGTGTATTATTGTCCCTAGAACGACCGCTTTATCCCCAATCGTTCGGCCATGAACATGGCTGCGTCATCGTTCAAGATCACGGCGCATTTCGAGACCAAAGCCAAGCCAAACAGTCGCGACGCATCCACTTCCTCCACTCCCACGCCGAAGAAGCATGCCAGCAGTTCCACCACCAATACGCCGATCAAACCCACGTTCCAAGCGTGTCTGGCCGAATCGTTGCTTGGCACTTCGGATTTGGAGCACCATCGCATTCTCACGTTTAAGGAGAAACCGGTGCCGCCGCATGACCCGGCGTCGTTCCAAGGCGCGCTGGACGTCATGTATCGCCACAAAGCGGCCAAGCGAGGCGTATGCGACAAGGAGAAACTCGTCCGGCACATTCCCACGGCCGCGACCAAGGTGCTGGACGCGCCAGAACTCATGGACGACTACTACCTGAACCTGCTCTCGTGGGGCAACAACAACGTGCTCGCGGTGGCCCTCGGCCCGTCCATGTACCTGTGGAACGCCGCCACGGGCGAGATCGACGAGCTCATGAGTCTGGAAGGCGACGACTACATCTGCTCCGTCTCGTGGATCCAAGACGGCCACACACTGGCCATCGGAACGTCGGACGCGACGATCCAGCTGTGGGACGCGCACGCCGCGCGGCACCTGCGCACCCTCCGCGGGCACTCACTGCGAGTCGGCTCGCTGTCGTGGAACCAGCACGTGCTCTCCTCCGGGTCCCGGGACACGACTATCAAGCACCACGACGTGCGCATCCAGCAGCCGCTTGTAGCCACTTTAAACGGCCACGACCAGGAGGTGTGCGGACTCGCGTGGAGTCCCGACGGCACCAAGCTCGCCTCTGGCGGCAACGACAACATGCTGTGCATTTGGAACCACCCGTCCGGCAGCAGCAGCAGCGCCAGACCCGTGCACAAACTCCACCACCACGTCGCAGCCGTCAAGGCGCTGGCGTGGTGCCCGTGGGAGCGGCATGTGCTGGCGTCCGGCGGCGGCACGGCGGACCGCACGATCAAACTGTGGAACGTCCAGACTGGGTCGCTGCTGCAGTCAGTGGACACGGGCTCACAAGTGTGTGCGCTGCTGTGGGCGGCGTCCGACAAGGAGCTGCTGTCGTCCCACGGATACGCGCAGAACGAGTTGTGTCTGTGGGAGTATCCGAGTATGGTCAAGATCAAGGAACTGACGGGGCACACGGCGCGGGTGCTGCACATGGCGGCGTCCCCAGACAAGATGACGGTCGTGTCTGGCGCCGCCGACGAGACGCTCCGGTTTTGGAACATCTTTGCCCCCCCCAAGAAGCCCGCCAAGAAGACGGCGGGGTTCTGGGACGACAAAGCCTCGTCCGGCAAGCATCCCAATCGTCTTTCCAGTCACCATCCATTTACAGGCATCCGTTGATTAAAAAAGTGTAATTTATTGTTTGCAGGCTGCGTGAATGAATAAACTGGGGGAGATGGTGTATTACCCCTACGAAGATTCCAAAAGACACCGACGACACCCGTTAGAACTACGACATTGCATTGAGAGTGACCTAGTACATTCAAGACCGTAACTTAACAGGCGATCACGTTACTACGGTGTATGACGTTGAATGCTTGCTCAGTTAAGAGGCAAACAGTAGCAGTTGACGTCAGCTAACCCTGCCACCTCTTATCCTACGGCAAGGACAATCAAAGCAGGGGCTCCACACTGTGCCAATCCACCGTCGCCTGTGGCCACTTGGTTTGGATGACGAGGTTGAGGGGGGGGATGAGGTCGCCTCTATTTTGCGCTGCCTTGTCCGGCTTTGTGGCCAGTCCCATGGGTGAGATCGTCAGACGAATCACTTCGTCTTGGTTGGCCAGCCCGTCAAAGTAGAACAAATCAAATGCCTACATCACAACGTAAGCCCAATATACACAATCAACCTTAATAGAATCAAAGTCCCCCCCATAGAACCACAAAGCCCCCCTCTAGAAGCCTAAAGCCCCCCCCACCAAAAAACCACCCATAAAAACACAAAAACCCTACCGCCAACGAGGTCGAGGGGGCGATCGCCGGGTCGGCAAACATCACCGAATAGTGCGACTCGCTGCACACGACCCAGATGTTGTCGACGGGGACCTTCAAGTGGTCGCCCACGACCATGTAGTCGTACGCTTCAAATAGTGTGAGGAACCCCACAGCACTCCGCTTTTGCACGCCCCGAAGTACCATGGACGATGATGTGGCATCGTCTCCGCCGCCCAAGTCTTTGGTTCCGTCAAAAACGTTGCTGCACGCGTACCCGAGCAAGAGCAAGTTGACCATCTCCTACACCCCCCATCGTCATCGTCATCGTGCTAGGTTTTCGTCACGAGTTTGGTGTACCTGGGTGCAGTAGTCGTGTGCGCCAATCAGAGTCGGCACGGTTCCAGTGGCCGTGTCCATGTCGGCTTCAACGGTCGCGAGTCCCCGCGTGAGCATGACCGACGCCACCACAAGCACGACGCCGTACCCTTTCGATTCCCGAAACTATGAGACATATGGTATGTTCATAATGGAAGACAGCATTTAGATGGACGAAGGTGGGCGAAACCTGATCGATGTGACGCGCGATGAACTGGTCGAGGTCGTGGCGCGAGTTTAGTTGGGACACCGCCATGTGCTCCAACGACTAACACGCCTCCAAGCGATTAATAATCACCAACATGTTGAGGTGTAAAATTGCAGCCAGGGGTTCGTACGGGCGTGGCACCACCGATTAGCGCGACTTTGCACGTCGATCCAGAGCCAGCCTGCCAAATAATGTGGGCCAGCGCCCGTGCCAATGCCTTGGTGACGAGAGGTGTCTCGACCTGCAATATACCCCTGGATGGGTACGAGAACTACACCTTTGAGGGATGGGAATATCTTACAGAATCCCACGTGGAGATATCTTCTTGGAAGAGAAAGTGCAGCACATAGGCTTGCACGACGGCCATAACACCACACGGCCCCCCTTCATGCTGCACGATGCCGTACTTGAGCCCTTCCACTTGGGCGAAATCAAAACCTTGGTGGGTCCAATGCGGACCCAGCTTCTTCTTGGAGTCGTTGAACAAGAGTTTCCGCAACGAAGTCACTTCCGCCGCCGGCAACGCTCGGCCTTGCTTCGAGTCGATGACGCCTACCAGCATATAGATACTGTACATATGCTCGTTCCAGTCGTTGAATGGGCAGCTATTACTGTTGGAGAGTGATACTCTCGACGGAAAGGATGACGACGATCGGGAAGGCGGTGCCGAGTCGGCCTGGGCATGGTCCTGTTCGTCCAAGTTGTCGCAGTCTTCCATCACCGCCACGTCGTCGTAGTCCCGAGACGCCCTGCGATTCTGCATGTCAATACTTCAGGGATGAGTAAGAAGACTGTACCGAACGTCGCCAGGCGCGACGGACGAGCCCCGCGCCTTGGGTTTGCTGAGCGCGACCTCCCCGCACCACATCTCGGACGGGTGGTCGTCGACCATGTTGGCAGCGTCAACAATCTTGTTCTTGCCCGTCGATTTCGGCCCTGTTTTGTCCTTCGCGTAGTGGACATTTACAGCGTGAATGGTCGGAGATGACGACATTCCCATGTCTTGTTCGTTGGGGTTTGTAGGGACAGCAGTCGCCCCACTTGGCTCGACGTCGTCGCTTGCACGTCCGTCTGTTCCTGCGCCTGCGACGTCGATAGCGTTCAAGTCGAGCATCGATCGAACGTCCACAGTCACAGCTTTCTTGGACGGTTTGGACGAGGACGATGATGGCTTTTTCTTGAGCTCTTTGTACTTTTCGTAGCAGTCGCGCTTGCTTCGACCGAGCGTGGCCCCGACACTCTTCCACCGCTCTGTCTTGTCGGCAATGGTTTGGGTTTTCTTGGCCTCCTTCTTCAGCTTGGACAAATCGTCCTTGGTCCACTCCTTGCTAGCCCCCTTGGTCGTTGACGCCATCGTAGTTTCGTCCACCTTTCCATCGGTGAATGCTTCCGGGGAGCAGCTACATGACGACTGTCCACATCAACTGGATATGACATTGTGTTTCAACATGCCTGACTTTGGGGGATTTGCTGCCAGACTTGCGCTTGCCAATCTACATTCATTTGCATCAATGGGGTATGACGTGGCAGCACCAGATGGCGACGATTACCATGTACTCCAAGACGGAGTTTGCCTTTTCCTTGGTCGCTTTGTTCGCGGCCACGTCCTTGGCAAATATATCGCTGGCCGTCGGAGACATCAATGCTGACGAGCTTCGATGTTTCTTCTTGTCTGAGATCCATTTTGAGAGCGCGTCCATCGTCTTCATGCAGCGCGACCCGCGGAGGTAGTCCAGGACGAGCAGCTCCGCCTGCTGGTGGACATCGTCGAGGCCGTGCATTTCCTTGGACTTGCTCATCGTCGTGGCAATAATTGTGAAAGCCCGAAACGACAACCCCAAATGCGTAAAAATAGAAATCCGTCCAACTTGGAACCCTAATCCGAAATAACTCATCAGAATAACACATCAGAAAAATGAAGTGGAAATCGATGTACATAGCTCGTGAATTATGTCACCCCGACGCCTACCAATACTACTATTTAGTCCTGAATACTTTGCAAAACTTGATTGAAGGACTTCGAACATTCGCATTGATGAACAGACATTTGAACCATGTTCCATAAGCACTTACACTCTGGAGTCGTATAAAACTACGGTAACGTACTCGAGAAAATTCTGAGAATAATACGACGCATTATTATCCGGGATATCCGGATAAGTGATCTTTCTCTCAATTCAACTTGAAGCTTTCTGAGATGCCACTTCCTTCTTGACGGCCACGATGCCACCAGCCATCGCCACGGACGTTGACTTTGTCCTTCGTTTGGCCAAACGCGATGGTATACACTAAGGGATACTAGGATAAAGAATGATGTTAATGTATCCATGATCACAGCCATCAAGTCCAACCACGGCATTGTCGAAGCCGAGCATTTTGTTCGAGCACTGTACAGCACGAGCGAGACCTTGTTGCCCCAAGCCATTGATGGTCAAGCCAATCCAGTTCTGGAGCCCGTGACTGCCGACAAGGACGACGACAACGACACGAGCCATGCTACGATTTCCCCTCACTTCCAACTTGTCTTGGACAACGCCGTCAACATGACGCTCACCGAGCAGCTGTCAACTGAAGCCGTCGTGTTTAGCATTCTCATGAACAACGGCAAACAGAAGGAGAAGCCCCTTGCACTCCTCTCGCCCACCGCCGGGGCGAAAAAGGAGGAGCCCTCGCGGAGGGCCATCGTTGGACCGGTGGACGCGCAAGTGATGCCGCGGTTCGGCGGGGCCCCAACCTTTGCCCGCCTCCCCCGTCTAGACCAAGTGACCTTCTGTGACGTGGCCATCTTGGGCCTGCCCTACGATAGCGGATGCACCTATCGCCCCGGTGCCCGCTTCGGTCCGTCCGCGGTGCGTCAAGCCTCGCGCATCCTTCGACCGTACCACACCACTTTAAAAGTAAACGCATTCCACGACCAGCAGTGCGTGGATGCTGGCGACGTGTGCTGCAATCCGTTCAACGTCACAGAAACCATGACCACCGTGGTCGACCACGTCTCGGAGCTGTTGCAGCTGCCGTCGCGGCCACGGATCGTCGCGGTGGGCGGCGACCACTCGATCTCGTACCCGCTTCTGAAAGCGCACTGTGAAGCGTACGTTGTCGCATATGATAAATTGCCCTTTTGCTCACAAGTAGATATGATGTAGGTATGGCCCCGTGGCCCTTGTGCACTTTGACGCCCATTTAGGTACCTTTCGACCACCATTTTGTTACGGTTGCGTATTCAAGCATACAACAATTAGATACGTGGGATGCATACTTTGGAGAGACCCATACCCATGGGACGCCGTTCCTCCGGGCGGCGGAGGAGCATCTCTTCCGCCCCGATGCGTCTATGCATGTTGGCATCCGGGGTCCAGTCTACTCGTCCGACGACTATGCCCGCGACGCCACCCTGGGCTTTAGCATGTTGAACATGGACGCGATAGAAGACATGGGGGTCGCCGGGGTTGTCAAACAGATTCGGGACCGAGTGGGGCAGCACCCGATCTACCTCAGTATCGACATTGACGTGTTGGACCCGGCATTTGCCCCTGGCACAGGCACCCCCGAAGCTGGTACTTTGACTTGTATGATCTATGAGATGATTGATTAGTGTGGTAGGGGGGTTGAGTACGCGTGAACTGTTTGGCATGCTGCGGGGACTGCGGGGCTTGAACGTGGTGGGGGCCGATGTGATGGAAGTGGCCCCGGCATACGACCACGCCGAGATCACCGCGTTGGCCGCCGCTAGCATCGTGTTTGAACTCATAAGTCTCATGGCAACCTCTTCCGCCAAGATACTGTCGGCTACATGTGTGTAATGGGAATACTAATCATAATCAAGGCACTATATATAAAGGATCTTTATATTTACGGTCATCATGGAAGTCTTCCCACAAGTATGATTTGTTGGCTACTGTATACCGAGTATACTGCCAATCAAATTCATCGCCCCATGGCAGCAACCAAATATGTGCAATGTAGTTACTATTAATAGTCGTACACACTAACACTAAGCCCACTCAAGGGCGTGCAAAGTAGGTGGAATGTGCACGTGTTACTCGTTCAAATGTGTAAAGTCTCCAACGTCATCAGCTTCTAGCGGTTCGTTGCCCATGTTTTGTTAAAGCGAAGTGTGACCAGACAAGTCCAAGGCGGCGGCGTCGTCCGCCACGTCGTTGGTCAAGACGGTGAGTTTCGCCACACTCGCCTTGTAGCACAGCGTTTTGCCTCGGGTCCACGAGAACGAGTTGTCCCAGCAGAGCACGGCGACGCCAGCCGACGGCGCGGTCCAGCTCGCCGCCTCCACTTGGCCGTGCACGAATCGCGCCTTGTCCCATCCGTCGACGTTCAATTCCACGGCGCCGCCATCTCCCTGGGTGCGGAACTTGACGAGAAAGTCCACGTCGTACTGTTGAACACAAAACTCCCAGCACAATGTGTCGTTGGCATTGACACGGAAGGGCACTGTGAGGGTACCGCGGGCTCGGATCTCGGCTTCCGTCGCGCCTAATCCTCCAACGTAAAGCAAGTCAAAAGGATGGAAAGCACAGAACGGTACCGTTTTCACGCAACATCGCGTACGAGTCCTTCCCAAGGAGGCCCGTGGCGGGGAGGTCGATGCGGTGGTTGGTTCCGCCTGCCCATGAATCAAATCAAGTAAGCAAAATGGAGGGGATGTTCGACGTATATGTACCAAAGAGAAGGGGGCGACTCGCGGGGGGGCAAATCTTGTCGAGGGTGCCGGAGGCGTCGCCGCGCTTCAAGAAGATCATCTTCTGGCGCTGGGCGTCGTCGAGCCACAACTGGATGCCTTTCCACGCCGTGTGAAACATCCACTACGCCGTAAATTAGCTACATACTAGTCGTCGAAGTTGATAGCCCAAAAGGAGAATGTACAGGGGTGTTGATAAACACGCTTTTGTGGATGTATTCGGGATAACATGTCGACGCGAGCGCGACCGTGCGCTGCAGCCGCGCGAGTGCCGGACGCGTGAGCCGGGCGAGCGAGAACCCGTCGAGGTCCCGCAGCACCGTGAACCGGACGAGACGGCCCTGCTCCAAGCTGCGTCTGTCCAGCGCCAGCGACCGGAACTCGAGCTCGTGGAGGGTGAACGCGAGCCACTCGGCGTCGCTCACGTTGACCACGAGCCCGTGTACGTCGACCGCGCCAAGCTTTTCAAACACAAACACGTTGTGCTGGTCGTCTTGGACGTCGTATGCGGCCACAACTGGTACGTAGCGCCTAGTGCCAAGATCGTCAGGTACGTACTGCAGGTAGGTAGGTACACATCAACAGTACCGAATTTTGTCGTTGTGGGGGAAATCGAGCTCGGTCATGATGTGGCCCAATAGAATGTTGTCCCGAATCGTGTCGAGGTTGTGCTCTTGTCGTACGACCAAATTGGCTCGGTACTTGGCCGCCGCGACCTCGACATTGCCTTTATGGCCCCGTAGGAACCGCAAGAGTCGAATGCGTTGCAGCTTGGACACGTCGTCGTCGTTGTGATTTGAGTTAGTCGGCAACGGGACCACGTCCGCCAGCGCGACAGTCAAATCTATTCGCATGGAGTTTCTTTCCGCATGTATCAGGATGTTGTACCGTGCAGTGCCTTTTGCTCGACGTCGGGGGTGGCCGACGCCACCGGCAGGTCGGGGTACGACATGGCTACTACAGGTGCCGACATGTCCATGGAAGCGACTTCCTCCTCCTTCTTCATGTCCACGGGGGCCACACTGCCCTCGACCGCAGAGATGCCCGCCATCGTGGTGACGTGCTCAATCGAGCTCAGGCGCCGTCGACGCTCGGATTCCGCCGCTTCCACCGCCGCTGCTTGCCCTGCCAAGCGAAGGGATTGGTTGGCCACAACTTGGTCCCCGAGTTCCTATACAGAGGGGGCAATGGATTCGTGGCATCGTCACAACATATTGCCTTTAACTGTGTCACATACTTGCACACGACGAGAGCGTTCGTGTTCGGCCAACTCGACGACTTTGTCGATCGAGTTTCGCCGGAGCAAATGGGTGTGCACCTATGGATTTGTCAAGACTATTGTCCTTGAAATATGTATCATGTAAACAACCTCGGCAATCGCGTCCTGACTCATGCGATGCGTGCGCTCGGCTTCCATGGCCTCCACCACGGCACGCTTGGATTGCACACGAAGCAGCTCGGTGTGCACCTAGGTGTTCGTAGGTGCAGATCATCGAGAGCGAACGGTTACGTACCTGAGCGATCATGCCTTCGCTCATCCGACGAGAGCGTTCTTGCTCCATTTGCATCACAGCAACCTGCTTGGCTTGTTCGCGATGGATTTCGTCGTGCACCTACGCATGGACGATCATACAACCATAGTCCATCGTGGCATATGTACCGCCGCCAAGTTGCCTTGACTCATGCGACGGCCGCGCTCTTCTTCGACAAGTTGGTGGACCTCCTTTTTCGACTTTTCCCGAAGCAATTCGTTGTGCACCTAGGTGCAGCACAGTTGATGGATTGTCACATGACATGATGTCGCACGCTGGCGAGGTTGTGCTGGCTCACGCGGCGAGTACGCTCGGTTTCCATGGCTGCAATTGCATATTCAATGTTGATTTCGCGGACAATCGCGCTTTCGCTCTGTACAAAAATGAGAGTGTGAGCAGGCAGGTCCATCACTCGGTCGTCACCTCGAGGCAGCGGACTTCATCCATGCGACGTTGACGCTCTTCTTCGGCTGCAGCTTGAGCCCTAAGCCAACGCGGTCGTATTATAGCATCGGCATGCAACAAGTACATGTATTCTCCTACACTTGCTTGTTCGCCTCGATGTGCTCGACTTCATCCGTGACAGGGTATGGCACGCTGTCTCCTTTCCCAAGCCCACTATCGATAGCATCTTACCCATGTGAATCACTGGAAACCGTCGCTTCTTACAGGGAAGACATTGCGGCATCAGTCGTGTCAGCTTGGCGGACTTCCATGGCGAATGCAGAATGGTAGGTTAAGGAAAAGTACGTTGTGTGTGTAGGCAGGCGTTACGCGACCGCTGACAATCTTGAAATAACATGTCCGGTTAATTCCGTACATGCACATCCGGATAATGTCCATTTTTGGGTTTGTAACCTTCGTGCACATCTAAAAACTTCCAATTGGCCAAATCGAAGAGTGGAGGTTTTATTATTTAACGTACAATAATGTAGTCCAAATACGTTAAATACCGATTTCTTGCGTTTTATCACTACAGTGGAAGGTTAAAGGTCGGATGACCCAAGACACTATTTTACACAATATCAGCACTCGTCCGTGAAAAAAGGTGAAGAGCACAATATTATTAAGAGATTCTGAGGATTTCGTCACCCAAATCAGGTATACATTATTCAAGTGACTCACATAGGAAAACTTCAATTTTAGAAATTCGACGAACAAATGACCAGACGATGCAAATGACGGGCCCTGCATAAAGTTACAAAGCTTGCCACGATCGTCAAAATGCATGTTTTCGCAGCCTTATCTGATGAATGAGTGGCGGCGAGTTATGGCACTCAGAAAGTAGGCCAACAGGATGATTGTCATTGGGTATTTGCTGGCCGCGAAATATAACGAATATACAACGAACGAAGTGGAACCGCCGCGAATTGCTTGTTCATTTCGCGAAAAAGTATGGTGAGGTCCTCAAATTAACCGAAAAAAGGTGTAACAAATGTTACACGTATTTGATGCAAGAATACGAAATTTCGTCCAATCATAGTCCATCGATGATTGTGATTGGGTATTTGCTGGCCGGAAATTACATGAATCACCTTACACTTTATGACAAACTCTACTGTACACGATGTGAACCAAATCCTCTATCTATGGATAATTCAACCCTCAGATCAGATATTAATTATTAAAACTAATTGATGAGTACGGTGAAAATTGATCATCATTCCTCTTTTCTTTATAGGATATCTTCCACAAAGTTAAGACAAACAGCCGCCTGAATTCATATTCAGATTGCTCTAGGAATTG